GCGGGGCAGACAGAGGTGGTGAGGACGGTACAGAGTGCAGGAGTACAGACTGAGCCTCAGGGCAGGGCAGCAACCTGGCTTCTCTGAGCAGGGCGCTGCCCAGTCCTCTTTTCCGGCAGAACCTGGTTGTATGTGCCAACTCTGAGTCAGCCACACCTAACCATCTCAGGCCAGGGAGGAGGCTTCAGCTTGGGCCCCATGCCAGAAGAGGACCTGTGAGGGGAGGGATGGGGTTATGTAAAGGAAGGGCCCAGCTGCAGGCCCCACCCCAGAGGCATCTGGGGCAGAGGGAGAGGCCATGGTCCCAAATAATGCCCTAGTTTGGAGCATGGGGCTCGGAGCTGGGAGGTGACGTGGATCAACAGGAATGACGCTTGAGATGAAGCCAAGGCAACTGCTGATGTCAGAATTTCATCGCGTCTCTGCCTCGGAAGAGGAACAGGGCTTGAGGACTGACATGCTGAGTAGAGGGGCTTGGAGGCCCCCAGGAAGGTCAGAGGCCCTCAGAGAGCAGGCCTTTTGGCATATGTCCTAGCCTAGGATGGAGGGGGGGATACAGTCCCCCTCATCCCTCCCCCCCACCGGACTCCAAAGTCAGGCCTGCCAGTGTGGACATGCTCATCCCTGACTGGAAGAGAAACCAAGGAGGGCTCTGACAGGCCTGTCAGGACCAGGGGGCACTCTTACTGAAGGACAGGCCCACCAGAATGAGTGCCAGATAAAGGGCTAGACCCTCTATGTGGAGGGAAGGCATAATGGAGGGGGGGCCTCTCCGAAGTCCCTTAGTCCTGACCCAGGCTCGACCCTCAGTACAGGAAGACCTGCCCTGTGGCTTATATCTCTACCTGAGGTATTCAAGGCCACCTAGGCCTGGTTGTACTGGAAAGAGAGTTAAGGTGAGCCAGGCCTTCTCCTCCAAGAGGGGTCCAACTGACTTCTGCCAGACTCTCACGATGGCTTTATCAGTGCTCAGGAAGCCTGGGTGATTCACTGGTGGGCCCAGCACCCTTCAATCTGGGAGGCCTTCTGGGGGCTCTCCCAAGGGACTCTCCCAAAGGGTGGTGGGCAGCAGGATTCCTGGACTTTCCCTGGGGGTATATGGGTACCCTATAAAGAGGGTATCTGGGTGGCAAGAGTTGAGGGGAGCAAGGGGGGGTTCCTGTAGGGGCCTAAGGGCCCCTTGTTCAGACAGCCCCTTGGGAGGCTACCCAAAGAAGGGATCCTGGAGATGTAACCCACCCCTATGTCCTGTCCCACCACTCTGCCATACAGATCACCAGGGGTTTGGTGTGCGAGAGGCTCAAAGGTGAGTTCCCCGCACCCAACTGCTGTAAGCTTTCCCTGCTTGCGCCCCAGCCCTCACCAAAGGCGCTCCTGGGGTTAGAAACTTCCCATCGAGAGAGGAGAGGACCCTCCTCCCGACAAGATTTAGGCATACCTCTCCGAGGACCTCCTAACCCATGCCCGCGCACCCATTTTGCAGAAGGGAAAGCAGAGATCCGGGGAGCCGCGGCTGGACGCCCGGACGCCCAGGCTCCCTTCCGCAGCAGCCCAGTTGGGCTCGAAGTTACGCGGTCCTTTTCCCAGAATGACGCCAGATTTTTTCGAGCGGCACCCCAAACCCGGAGAAGCGTCCACAGGTAGGGCGTGGGGCTGGGCCGCCCGCTGTAATGACAGGGCCCACGCCTGTGGGTGGCGGCGGCGGAGGAAGCGGGAGGAATCCGACTATTTCTGGCCTGGGTGCGCCTACTAGCCCCGGCCAGGGTTGGCCCAGCTGCGGGCCCCCCCCCCCGCCCTCCCCGATCCCCAAGAGGGGGCGGGGATAGGCGCGGGTTGGCGGGGCCGGGGGGGCGGGGCGGTGTCCCGGGCCCACCTCCGGTCTCCGCCCACCGGAGTCCTTTCGGGTCCCTTCACCGCACTCGGCTCGGACCCGAGGCCGCCGGCGCAGTCGCCGCGCGCGTGTGTCCCGCGGCGCCCCCTCCCGCTGCGCCGCCCGTCGGGCATGGACTCGGGCCGGGACTTCCTGACCCTGCATGGTGAGTTCCTGGCTGGCGTGCGGGCAGACCCTGCACCGGCCGACCCCGCGCGAAGCCGTTCCCGGGCCCTGGGCCGGGGACCCCCAGGTTCCTTCGGCCGCCCTCCGCCCCGCCCCGGGCCCGCCTCTCGACTCTTTTGTTGCATCGGGGAAATCTCGGCGCGGGGGACTCTCGGGGTGGGACTGCCAGGCAAGACCTTGGGCTTGTCCCCCAGATCTGGCCGGAGGTGGGGGGAGGGTGCGGGTCTGAAGACTTCCCTGAAGGCGAACCCCGACCCCCAGACCCCGCCTCAAGGATTCTGCCTTTTTCTGGTCTCAGAAGGCTGGGCTCCGTGGTCCAGCGCGCACGGAATGGCCGAGGAGGGACGGAACCAGCATCCACGAATAACCAGGTTCTCCCCACACCGTCCGGGCCCCGCTGGAGAGGCTCCCCAAAGCCCAGGCTGCCTGGACCGCGTCAGGCCGCGTGGCTGTGGCGGGGGGGTGCGGGGGGGGGGGGAGGAGACGAGGAGGTGTGCAAGGTTGGCCGAGGTCGGGCTGGGCGGCGGTAACTGCCCAGCGCAGAAATCCCTGTCAGCGATGCCCACGCTGGTAGGAGCGGCCGGATCCTCCCATCCGCGCACCCTCCTGGCGGGACCAGGCCGAGTCTCAGCTGAACTGCCTGCAGCTCCACCCTTTGTCCAGCTAGTTCTGTCCCTCTGACCCACCGGGGAACAGTCCTTGCCGTATTGCTGTCCCTCCAGGACAAAGAGCAGCAGTGGCTTCTGGCAGGTCGGGCCCCCCAGCCTGGTCTAGCATCTCTCCGCTCCAGCCTGGGGACTCACTCACTCTTAAGGGTGTCTTGCCCTCCTGGTTTCTGAGATCATCTGCCAGTTCAGCAAAACCTGCCCCTTACGCCAATCACTGCTTAACCGTATCTCCCTGTTTTCTAGTATCCCTGGGGTGGGAGACTTCAGTGCCCACCACCTGTCCATCTAAACCATACATGAAGATGATAGATGGGAAAGAGAAAGGCAGAGCCCTCCAGCTGCCCACTAGAGACCCCCTGGAATTCAGGGGCATAGGAGATGTTCCTTTCAGCCAGCCGCTAGTCTGTCTTGTGTTTCCTGGTTGGCCTAGACCTGGTCTCCATGGCCCAAAGAGACCTTGCTCAGGGCCCAGAGCTGTGACCCTCCCACCACTGGCCTGGGCTCCTCAAGGCAACCTCATCCAGCTGGATCATGGGAACCCTGCCCCTTCCAGTGCTTCATCTTCTCAGACCAAAGGTGTCCTTAGTGCTCCTGCAAGACTGGCAGGAAGGGAGTCTGGATGGCTTAGAGGACCACAGTGGAGACCTCTGCTTTCTCTCTCATCATCCCTTAGTTAGTGCTGTCTACCCTGCAGAGTGATACCTCTTCTGGGCCTGTCTCACACTCAGATCTCCTAAAAGCCCTCCGGTCGTCTCTGGCACAGCTCATGTTGGAATGGGCTCCATCCTCATGCATCTGTGCCTTCAGCCAGTCTTTCTCCCCCGGTGTCTTCCCTGGAAAGGAAGCTACGGGGAGGCACTGTGGCATGGGTTTGGCCCATTCTGTTTGAGACCTGCCTTCCAAATGCCTCACTCTGTCCAGCCCTTCCTGCGGGACTGGCGGGAACACTGCAACCCCAAGCTCTTTCCCAGAAGGCCCTGCCACTTCAAGCTCATCACCCAGAATTACCCTCCCTTAATTGCCTTGGTCCCTCCTGCAAACCAGATCAGAAAGCAAGAACCTGGCAAGGGCAGTTGATGGCAGGAAGGGGTGGTCACTGTGCCCTGTGCTTCCATTGGAGAGTCCGTACCCCTTTCAGATTTGGGGCCCCACAGCACCGAACATGTGGCTTGGGCAGTTGGCAGTCAGCTGCAGAAAGTCCCCCCCTCCCCACGGCCTGGGGGGCCACGGAGCCTCCCTAGATATGAGATGTCCCCTACGTCCTCACCCCAGATGTGTGCAGATGCAGTGTAGGCTACAGGCATGGGTTCTGGAGGCAGACTGAGTTCAGGCCTTGACTTTTTCATCCCAGACAAATTCCTTGATTTCTTGGTGCCTCAGTTTCCTCAGTGAAATAGGGGACAAGAACACTACCGACTTCATAGGCTTGCTGTGAGGACTGAATGAGGTCATACATAGAAGGCAATGGGAACAGTGCCTGGCACTCGGTAGGGGCTGTGTTCCTGCAGGAGGCCCACACCCAAGTGACCATGCCCTGTGCATTCTTGGGAGATGAGGGGGGCACCATAAGGGAGTCTGTTGCTAGGAAAAATGTGCCCAGAACAGGGCTCAAGAACCAAGGGCCTCCTTCTGGTGTCTCTGGAGCCCTCAGACTGATGTTCCATTCCCCTGGCCTCCTCCCCCTCCTCCACTGCCTCTGCTGTCTCCATTCTAGCCAGGCCTGCACTGGCCTCGCCAGCACGTCTCCAGATGTACCCAGAAGGACACTACTTCGCAGGCCCTTCCCTCGCTGAACACGTCCACCTTCACTAACTTTACCTACCTCAAATCCACCCTGCCCCACTGTCAAAACTGGCATTTGTAAAAGTGGAAGGCAGGCCATAGGAGGGGCCTCATCTTGGCCCCAGGAGACCTGGACTGCAGTCCTCATTTTGCCTGTATTTATCAATGTTGTGACCCTGAGCACGTCCCTTTGCCTCTTTGGGCCCTTTTTTCCCCCCACCCATGGCATAGTAACACCCTATTTACAGGGGACATCGTGAAGACAAAGCATGGATAGGCATAGGAGCTCAAGGTTGGCAAGAGAGCCAGTACCCCCAAAAGATAATGGTTCCAGAGCCATCATAGCAAGTTGGGGTGGCCAGCCTCCTACTCACCTCAGTTATGTTTCAAAACTGTCCCCGGGGTTCCAGACCCATAACCCACAGACACACACTGATCCACACTGATCTTAACATTTCGCGCCATAGGCCACTTTGGCAGTCAGATGAAGCCTGTGGACCCCTCCTCAGGGTCATGTTTTTATTTTTATTTTTATTATTTTTAGATTTTATTTATTTTTATTTTGAGAGAGAGAGAGAGAGCGCACGCCCACACACAAGCAGGGGGAGGGGCAGAGGGAGAGGCAGAGGGAGCGGGAGAAACAGGCTTCCTGCTGAGCAGGGAACCAGATGATGTAGGGCTCGATCCCAGGACCCTGAGATCAAGACCTGAGCCGCAGGCAGACACTTAACTGACTGAGCCACCCAGGCGTCCCAGGGTCATGTTTTTAAATGCATAAAATAAAATACATGAGAATTCAAAGGAAGCAAATTATATTGAGATGTGATTCTATCCGTAGGTCCTTGGCGTGGGGTGGGGCGGGGCGGGGCGGGGCTCTTGGTCCTCTGGATGAGAACCTTTGTGTGGTTTCTCTAAAACAGGTCACCTTACCCTCTGCCTCCTCCCTCTCCAAATGAAGAACAACTTGTTTGGGCCCGTATTTCAGCTCATCTACACCAACACACGTTCTTTTGATGTATTCTCTGTGGCGCGACCGTAGGCAAGTCACTCTGCGCTTCAGTTTATTGTTAGTGTTGCTTTGCTTGGCCGTGCTAATGGTTGGCTTTGACGGTGACTCACTGCCAGTGCTGGGGACTGGAGCGGCAGTGAAGCGAATGGAGGAACTAGTCAGAGGCAGAGAGTAAAAGAGAGGGGTGAGTCAGGCCTCTGGGTGGTGTCCTGACCTTGGCACACAGTAGGGGCTGGGGGCATGAAAGAGAAGTTGTAACTTACATGAAAGGTCCCACTGTTCCCGAGCACACTGGCAGCACAGTTTTGTATAAAGTTGCAGTAGTTCTCATCTATTCATCAAAGCAAGCCTGCGTTAATGGATTCATTTTTAAGATCAGCCTTTTTTTTTTTTTCAAGAATTCCATTCGCATTTGGAACCTTAGCGATTACCCTACTCGGGTGGAGAAACTGTGAGAAGGAAACAGGTCTGCCTGTGAGGCAACAGCCAGCTGAATTACAGTAACTTCGTTGAGTAATTGAAGTAAAATATTTGGCGGGCTTGGTGGTCTGCCCCAGGCTCCATTCCCGGCTCCGTCTGACCCCGCCCCATCCCGTCCTCTCAGACTTGGCCACCCAGGCCGCGGCTACCCGATCTCCCCTGTTCTCCTCAATCTCGCTCAAACTTCGTCCTCCGCCCGGCCCCCAGTAGGTGTTTCGAATTCGCGACTCCGGCTCCGCCCCCGGTGGACACCAACCCCTGGTGGGACACCGCCTCCAAAGCCGAGGTTCCGCCCCTCCCTGCCCGAACCCCGCGTTTTCAGTGCGGGGCCCTCCCTCGGGTCGCTCTCTGGGCCCTAGCTCCGCCCCCGGCCGGCCTCCTAAGTGACGCTCTGCCTCCCCGTCACCTCCCAGACCCTGCTCCTTTCCCCCGCCTCCCACTCCAACCTCTGGGGCTGTGCCTCCGCCCCCTACCACCTTTCTGGGCTCTGGCTTTCGCCACTGATTTGCTTCCTGGGTTATAGATTTGTCCCACTCCGCCTCTTGGGTTCTGGCTCCTCCTCTCCCCGCCTGGAGTCCGCCCTTGCCGCAGCCCCCAAGGGCAAAGGTCCTGCCCCTCCGGGACTGGCCGCGTCTCCTAGGGTCTGTCTCCGCCCCTTTCAGCCCTGATTTCTCTCACGCCCCGCCTCTAGGGCCGAGGCTCCGCCCCTCCAGGCTGGCCCCTCCTTCTGGGTTCTGACCCCGCCCCTCCACGCCCGGACTCCGCCCCCATTGCCAGGGCCTTCTAGAGGCTGCGCTGTCCCGGGCCAGGCTCGGTGGCGCGGAGGCACTGAGGAGCGTCATGCAGTGCCTGGGAATCCCGAGCCGGAGCCGCTCCAGGGAGCTCTATCTGCAGGAGCAGAGCCTCAGGGTGGCGGCGCTCAATGGGCAGAGGCTGGGTAAGGAACGCAGGGGGCACCGAGCTCCGCTGGGAAGGCAGCTGGGGCAGGATGTAGACTGTGTGCCTTCCATCCTTTGAGTGGACCTGTTTAGTACTCCTGTGAGTGCGAGACCCACTGTGGGGCTGTGTTTGCAGGGGTGGCATGTGGAGTGTTTTCGGGGCCAGGGGTGGGTGGGTGGGTGGGATAGGTCACTTCTCCCTCCAAAGCACCCCACCCCTTACCACCCCTAACCACCCCAACCCCTCCTGTTTACAAATTTCTGAGGCACTACTAGTTATGTGGCTCAGTGTGTAACTGGTACGACTGTGTAACGAGATGGTTTTCCGAGCCTTTGTGATCCAGTGTGATGGTGTGCAAGTGTGCATGACAAGTGTGACAGTGGGGGACCCAGTGTGTAATCTGGTGGTGGCTCTGTCCCTCACGTGGCACGTGGGGCCACTGCGCGGCAATGAGGATGTGTAATGCGGTATAACCAAGTGTGTGACATTGTGGCACCAGTGTGGCCGCGTGTGGTCCAGGGTGATGCTGTGTCCTGGTGACTGTGGGAGGCAGACCGACAGTGGGCGAGCCGGGGGACCGAGTCTGTCATTCCGTGTTGCAGTATGTGTTCTGTGGATTTTCTGACATTGCTCAGTGCGCCTGAGCGGTGACTTGCATAAGGTAATGTTTCCTAGCACTCACCCTTGGGCAGGCTTCGGAGTCCTGACTCTGCCATGTAACTTCCTTGAACCTCAATTTCCTCATCTGTAAAATGGGAATAATTATAGTGCCTTCCTCATAGGGTTGTTGGGGGGGTTAAGTACATGTGCTAAGAGCAGTATCTTATTCAAATATTGGCCATGAATGTTATGGTAGCTGCTCTGATCACCATTGTGAGGGTGATGTTCTGGCACGGTGCGTTGAGTGCGGCCGTGTGTAACTGTGTAGCTTTGTATGGCTGTGGGGCCCCCCCTCAGCCTCCTGTTAGCACCTGCACACCCTGTGCCCTCCTCCACATGGCCACCTCACTGTGTGCGGCCAGCCTGAGCGGGTTGGTGAGGCTGCCAGGTCAGCCCAGGGGCCCCTGAGGTAGAGGCCCCTTAGCACCCCCCTCCCACAGGAGGAGAAGGTACTGAAGCTGAGTGAGTGGGGCTGAGCGCCCATCAACATTCTGGGTGCTGAGGGAGCACGGGTGGCAGGGCGGGCAGCCCAGGGGCCTCAGAAATAAAAGGGCCGGCTACAGATGAGACTCAGAGGTGGGGGTGCCTGCCCAGGTTCCCTAATGGCCCAGAAGGTGGTGGCTATTATCAAGGCCCACCTCGGGGCTGAGGTCCGTGTTCCGGAAGCCATGTCAGCAGCCAGGGGTCTTATCTCTGCCTGACCGCAGACAAGGCCACAGCCTGGCTCCAGGACAGGATGAACATGTCATCTCCCCATGGTGTTTTCCAGAACCGGAGGGTGGGGCTCACCTTCTACTTTCCAACCCCTCCCCCATTACCATCTCTGTTGTTGGCAATGGCTTGTCCTAATGAGTGCCCAGCTTGGGGGGCAGGGGGCAGGCATAGGGTAAGGAGATGCCCCTGCCGATTACACCTCAGCTCAGAAAGGACAATGGAATACCCCAGCAGAGGCTGAGGACCTCTCTTCTGGCATCTGGGAACTCCCGTCCTCTGGTTCCAAGCGCCACACACACAGCCAACAGTTTAGGACATCTTGCAGGAGCCCCCTTCTCCACTGAACCTCCCCTGGGGCTGAAGGGATGCTGCTCATACTAAGACAGAGGGGTCTCCCAGAAGTGCGGGGAGACTTGGGACAAAGGAAGAAGAAGGCACATCAGACTATCAGAGGCTCACAGACACCTCTTCTGACGCTGTTCTCACCCAGTGCTGATGGGGGAACGGAGCCACGGGGGAGGGGAGCTGCCTAAAGTCATGGGTGGTTGTTAGCACTGGGCTCTGTCCCTAGTGAAGGCAGGAGATTGGGAAGGGATAGAGAGCGTATGGGTGGCTGAGGCCTGGGGAAGCGGTTCAGAAGTTTCCCTAGGTCTTATGGGTGTGTGGGGCAGGCTGGTGGGGCGGGGGGCATGGATAAAGCTGGAGAGCCTATCAGGGGCTGTGGATCTGGGCTTGGAAAAGAAAAGCTTATAGGCCTGGTCACAGGCCGTTCAGACTGGACCGACACGGTCCCTGATGCCACCGCTCTGCTGGAGCAAGAGGATAAAGATTGCTGAAGGGCCACATAGTTTTAGTTTTGGGGACAGAGTGAGGTGAGATGGTCACCTGGCTCTGAGCAGAGCTGGCTGCTGGACTGCATCTGGCTCAGCCGATAGATCTGGATCTAGATGCATCTATCTCTATATTATATTGATGAATCATTAAGGTGGGACATGGTCTCTCCTTGATCACAGTTGATACAGGCTCTGCTCGGGGATGAGGGCTCCTGGGGGGCCAGGCCTAGTGCCCCTTTGGTATCTCTTGCTTGGGCCTGTTAGGACAAAGGGCATTGTATCTTTGGGAGCCCATGCTGAGGAGGCCAGCCTGGGTCCCTGAAGACAGCTGGGTAGGAGGGGCCATGCAGCTAGGGTCTGGTCCTCACTTAGGGCCCCGGGCCGGGTCCTGCCTCAGCTGCTGAGAAGGCTGCACTGGGCCTTAGGACTATTATAGCCCAAGGATCCCAGACCCAGGACACTCAGAGACGGGGTGGACAGGGAGAGCCAGGGGCATCCCAGGGGCCAAACCCAGGCCACATTTGGCTCATCTCTCCCTTCTGGCGGCAAGGATCAGAGACCTACTCAAGCAGGTGGAAGTCAGGGTGGGGGCAGCAGGGTGAGCGTGGCAGGGATGGGCACGAGGGTCCTACTGCAACCATAGTGTTGACACCAAGAACTACAACTTCTGTTACCTCCGGACCTTTTCTTTCCTGCCCGGCCTGATATTTTGGTCCCAGCTTCCTTCAGATCACTCTGACCCCTAGGTATGACCAGGAGGGGCACACTTTGTTTTACAGAGCCAGGCCATTTCCCAGGCATCTGGTTCCCCAGAACCAGATGTTCTGGAATTAGCTGCTTCCCCTTGTCCATTCAGCTGTGGATGGCAGGTCACAGTATATAAAGTGTAGCCTTGAGTGGGTGGGTGTCCTAAGGTTTGCATGGCCTTGGCTGGCAATCAGAGATGGCTTCCTGGAGGAGGCAGGGCTCCAGGATCAGGTTGGAGCATGGGTGAAGGTGGGAGAAGGGAAGGGAGAGCGGAGGGTGAGGCTGGTGAGAAGTGGGACCCTTCTCGGAGAGGGTCCAGAGGTGGGAGTAGCTAGCATGGGACCTGGGGCAGCAGGGACACCGGAGGAAGTGGCATCTCACCAGCTCTGCCCCCTAGGCCTACAGGATGACGAGGACCTACAGGCACTGCTAAAGGGCAGCCAGCTCCTGAAGGTGAAGTCCAACTCATGGCGGAGAGAGCGTTTCTACAAGTTGCAGGAAGACTGCAAGACCATCTGGCAGGAGTCCCGCAAGGTCATGCGGACCCCGGAGTCCCAGCTGTGTGAGTGTCCCAGGGCTGCAGGGTGGGAGCAGAGTGTGGATCCTATGCTTGCACGGGGAATCGGATGCTGGTTGGGGCGGGGAAGTGGATGCTGGTTGGGGCAGGGAATGGTGGGGTGGGGAGGTCAATCCTGGACCACAAATAGGGAAACCCAGGCCTGGCCTAGTGGGGCCCAGGTCGGTCACACAATCAGGACCAGATACAGGGAAACTGAAGCTGGCAAGGGTGGGGGAGAAGAGTTAGTTAAATCACCAATAGGGCAATTGAGGCCTAGTCTGGGCCAGACAGGGCAGTCATGGAGGACCAGAGATGGACAGGCTAAAGCCTTTTGAGGGTAAGGATACATAACTGTGACCACAGGTGGGAAAGCCAGGCTCAGAAATAGGGAGGTTTCTGGGCAGTGTTGTCTGAACGCACAGGGTGTCCACCTAGACAGATGTGGGAAGGAGGGAAGTTGGGCGGATTAGGACTACAGGTGTAGTGAGGCCCAAAGCCAAGCCCAAAGTCCAGGGGCAGATAAGGCCCTTCCTGGTATCAGCGGCCAGGATATGAGGTGGGGCCGCAGCAGGCAGTTCCTTCCCGGGACTGGGGCCACAGCAGAGAGGTAGGGTGGAGTGGAGCGAGGCCTTATTAGCTGGGCAGCTCCCTTGAGGGTATTGGGTCTGAGGATTTTCTGGAAGCTTTGGAAAAGGCCCTGGAACCCCAGGCTCAGGCCTGCAAATGGAGAGTGCCTGCAGCAAGGCCCCACAGAGAAAGCTGTGCAGGTTAGCTGCTTTGTAACACAGAATGGCCTAAAGATTCTGTAAAATGAGAGGTCCCCGCTGCATCTTTACTTGGTGGGAAACTTTTAGACCAATGCTGCCCAAAAGAACTTTCTTTGATAACGGAAATGTTCTGTATCTGTGCTGTCCAGTATGGGTGCCTCTAGCTACCTGTGGCCTTTGAGCACTTGAAATGTGGCTAGGTGTGACTGAGGAACTGAATTCTTAATTTTACTGAATTTTAGCTACTTTATATTTAAATAGCCACACAGGCTGGCTGGCGCTGGCTGGCTGGCGGCTGCTGGATTTCACCCAACCCAGACCCCTGCCCTTGGCCGTGGTGGGGAAGGGGGAAGGAGCAGGGGCAACCCACTGGGGAGTGCAGTCAGACACAGGTGACAGGCTCCAGATGGGAGAGGGGACAGGAGGAAGGGGAGGTGCCCAGGCAGGGTTTACCGGGCCTCACGACACTGGGTAGAAACCTGAGAAAGTATCTCCTGATGGCCGTATGGCCTGGAGCAGGGTCAGAGGTGAGTCAGGACACGAGCAGGGTCAGAGCAGGGTCAGACGGGGAGAGCCAGGCAGGGGGCCTTGGGGCTGTGGGCCATGGAAGGTTTCTGAGCAAGGCAGGGTAGGGTTAAAGCCGACAGAACCTGAAGTACTCTCCGAAAACCACCCGAGTGCATGTCAGTCACACAGCATGGGAGTGACCCAGACCTCGTCTCTGTCTGGCCTCTGTCGGTGGCACCAGCCAGGCTCCTTCATGGGCCTCAGCCCTGATATGGGGCTTCCTGTTCGACGCTGGTGGGGGGCGGCACAGTGGGAACTGGCGTCTTGCTCTCTGAGCTCTGGGGATTCCTGAGAGCCCGTACATATGCCTGGTTTCCCGTGTGTGCCTGGCACTTACTGGGCGGCAGCGGGCATGGGGGCAGAGACAAGAGTAGGGGACCTGGGCTGGTGAGATGAGCCCCTCATACTGGGAGAGCTGTGAGCACAAGGGCAGGAGGACCCTTCCAGGCAGGAGACTAGTGTGAGCAAAGGTGCAGGGCCGAGACTGAGGAAGGGGCGTGAGTGAGGGGCTGCAGGGGTGACAGGTGCGGGGTCAGGCACCAGCTGTGCTCAGGTGAGGAATGTGGCCAGAAGAGGCTCTCTTCCAGGTCAGAGACACTGAGACGGCTCTCCGGCTGAGCATGCCTGTTGGCTGCTTCCCTTCTCCGGGGGAGCAGTGAGACTGTTGTCCCCAAATGCACTCTACCCTCGGGGAAACTGAGGCCAGGTGAGGGAGGAGGGGAGCAGCACCCCCAGTTCTCTCTGCTCCCTCAGTTTGCCCTGATCCTGCCACCGCTACGCTCCCTCCACTCTGACCCCCAGAGGCAGACGAAGTATTATCAGCAGTGCAGGCATCTGGACTTTCTCTCTGGTGCGGGTGGGGGTGCTGGCCCAGGAGCTGCCCGGCTCAGGTTTCCTGTTTTCACTCCCAGCCCGGGGCAGCGGCAGCTGGCCTGAGCCTAGCGGGCGCAGGAGGCTATGGACAGAGGAATTAAGCGGGGCTATCCCCTGCACCCCAGATGGCCCGGGGCTCACAAGTCCCACTCTCGGAGCCTGCTGCCCAGGCTGGGTACATGTCCTTCACATGGGGCTTGCAGGTGGCTCGGAGGCCTCTGGGCACTCAGGGTGCAGGCAGGCATGGGGAGGACAGGTGAGCTTGCAGCTGGGGCTGCTCTAGAACCCAGGACAGAGGGATGTGGAGGGCTCAGGACACAGGTGGGGCAGGGGTGGAGCCTGGACCTTGATGCTGGGCAACTTAGCATGAGCCCAGCTGGTGGGACTGGCTCCCAGCCAGGCCAGGAAGGGCACCCTAGGGTCTTGCTGCTCCCTGAAGCTTGGAAGGTGTGGGTGTGACAGGAGGGCTCTCCGCCCAGTTCCTAAGGGCAGAATGATGGACTCTCTCAGACCCCTAAGGGGCACCACTTGGGGTCCTAGAGGGCAAGAGCCTTCCCGCACTCTTCTTGCCAAGCGGATCCCTGAGGTCAGGACACACGTGGACACACATGGACACACGCAGGGCAAGGTTGTGTCCATGCCGCAGCACAAGCACTTCTCCCTGTGCCCCCGCACCCCGGGGCCAGGGCTGCCAGAGGGTGGCTCCGGGCTCCTGCATGGTCGGGAGAGGGGCCTGCAGGCTCTCAGAGCCATCTGAGGGGAGGGTGGTCCAAACTCAAGTGCGATTAGGAGGGTATGTATCCTGTCTGTCACAGGCTCCAAGCTCCAGAATGGTTTCTCCCCATCTCTAAAAGCCCTGCCCTGCCCTAGTCCCTCCCAACCTGGAAACAGCAGGGCCTGGGGTCCCAGGTGCCCTTCTCTAGGGTCAATCTCTCCCTCTGTCCACCCCCCCACCCCCCGGTGTTTCCCCTGCCCACCACAGCTGTGTGTCACATTCCTTCTCCATCTCGGTCTCTGTTTTCCTTCCTCCCTTGTGTTCCCCTTGTCCATCCTGCTGCCCCCCTCCTTGTCTCTGGATCCAGGCCTGAGCTCCAGCCCTGGCTCTGTGTCCCCACGCTGTGCCTTGGCCACACCGGGGGCAGGGACTGGCCTCGAAGCTCTGCCACCTATCCCCTTTTTGCAGTCTCCATTGAGGACATTCAGGAGGTGCGGAAGGGGCACCGCACGGAGGGCATGGAGAAGTTTGCCCGGGATGTGCCCGAGGACCGCTGCTTCTCCATTGTCTTCAAGGACCAGCGCAACACACTAGACCTCATAGCGCCGTCGCCGGCCGAGGCCCAGCACTGGGTGCAGGGTCTGCGCAAGATCATCCACCACTCGGGCTCCATGGACCAGAGGCAGAAGCTGCAGCAGTATCCTTCTGGTGGCAGTGGGTTCTGGCCCAGCCTGTGGATCCTGGCTGTGGTCATCACCAGGGCAGCCTGCGTGTGGAAGATACCCAGCTTGGGCCGTCATATGGACATAGCAGAGGCTGGGCAGCTCACACAATGGAAATGAATCTCACGGTTCTGGAGGCTGGAGACCCGAGGTCTGGGGGCCAGCGTGGTCGGGTTCTGGTGAGAGCTTTCTTCCTCGCTTGTGAGGGGCTGCCTGCTCACTGTGTCCTCACATGGCAGAGAGAGAGAGAGAGGAGGGAGACAAGCTCTCTGGTGTCTCCTCTTATAAGGGCACTAATTCTATCATGAAGGCTCCATCTCATGACCTCATGTAAGCCCCCCACGACTCATCCCCAGATGCCATCATATTGGGGGTTAGGGCTTCCACATATTGATTTGGGGGGAACACAGTTTAGTCCTGAGCCCTCAGAAGGTACCTGGAGCCCTGTTTGGTCTACTCAGTGCAGCCCCCGCTGTCTCCTCTTCTCCTCCCCAGAACCAGCACAGAGTTCTGCTAATGGCAGCAGCTTCCATGCGAGACCGAGTCTTGAGTGTTTGAACCATGTTTCTTGGAGTTACTACATTTTTTTCTCTCTGGGAATTTGGAAGGCTATGGTACCCCCTGTGCCATTCTTTGGGGAGTGATCAAGTTTCCCTGGGCCTCATGTGCAGGCCAGCCTGTAAGCTTAAAACAAATTCACTTCCAAATCTGGATGCACAATAGCACACTAGCCTATGGTTCAAAGTGGTCAGCCTTCTGGTACAGAGGACTAGGGTGGAACCAGCTCCAGTTCCTTTATTTTAATGACAGTTTTATTGACATATAATTCACATACCATGTGATTCACCTGCTTAAAGTTACACGTCAGTGCTGTTCAGTATATTCACAGGGTTATAAGTAATTTTACGACACTTTCATCACCTTAAAAAGAACCCCATACCCTTGAGCAGCCAGGCCCCATTTCCCCATAACCCTCCAGGCCCTAGACAACCACTGATCTACTTTTTTTGGCTCTTTACATTTGCCTTTTTCTGGACATCTCATATAAATGGAATCATACTGTCTTTTGTGACTGGCTTCTTTCACAGAGCATGTTTTTCAGGTGTCTCCATGTTGTAGTGTGAATTAGTACCTCATCCCTTCTTATGGCTGAGTAATATTCCATGGTCTCCTTATTCCACATTTTATTTATCCAGCTAGCAGTTGATGGACAGTGGGGTTTTTACTCTGGAGCTTTTATGAATTAATGCTGTTATGAACATTGGTGTGGTATATAGCTAGGATTTATAAGTCTTATGGTAACTGTATGTTTAACCTTTTGAAGGACTTCCAGTTTTCCAAGGAGGAAATTGACATTCCCACCAGAAGTGTATGAGGGTTCCAATGTGTCACATCTTCACTAAGGCTTGTTAATACGGTTACTACTTCTTTATCCTAGCCATCCTTGTGGGTGTGAAGTGGTATCTCATTGTGGTCTCGATTTGCATTTCCTTGATAGCTAATGATGTCAACTATCTTTATATGTGTTTATCGGTTATTTCTAGAAATATCTATCAGATCCTTTGAGGAAATATCTGTCAGATCCTTTGCCCATTTTTTGTTGTTGTTAAGTTCTTTTTTTTTTTTTTTTTAAGATTTTATTTTTAAGTAATCTCTACAGCCAACATGGGGCTTGAACTTACAACCCTGTGATCAAGAGTTGCATGTTCGGGGGCACCTGGATGCTCATTCAGTTAAGTGTCCGACTCTTGGTTTCAGGTCAGGTCATGATCTCGGGGTCGTGAGATCAAGCCCCGAGTCAGGCCCCGTGCTCAGCTGGGAATCTGCTGGAGATTTCCTCCCTCTTCCTCTCTCTCTGCCCCTCCCCCTGCTCATGCAAGCTCTTTCTCTCTCTCTAAAATAAATAAATTAAAAATCTTAAAAAAAAAAAAAGAGTTGCACACTGTACCCACTGAGCCAGCCAGGCGCCCGTTAAGCTCTTTTTAAAATGGATTTATTTTTAAAAAATTTTTACTTGTGGTAAAATCTACATAACATAAAATTTACCATCTTTCAACCATTTTAGTCATGTGGAGTACCTTCACATTGTTGTGCAACCCATCTCCAGAACTCTTTTCATCTTGTAAAACTGAAATTCTTTCCCCATTAAACAACAACTTCTCATTCTCCCACCTCCAATCCCCACTCCCCAGCCCCGGCCCCCCGGCAGTCACCATTCTACTCTCTGTCTCTCTGAATTTGAACACCCTAGCTACCTCAGACAAGTAGAATCATAGAGTATTTGTCTTTTTGCAGCTGGGTTATTTCACTTAGCATAATGTCCTCAAGATTCATCTATGTGGTAGCCGGTGTCCGAATTTCCATTCTTTTTAAGACCGAATAATAATATTCCACTGTCTGCATATACTATATATTGTTTCTTCATTCATCCATTGATGGGCACCTGGGTTGCTTCCATCTTTTTCCTGTTGTGAATCATGCTGCTGTGAACATGGCTGTGCAAATATCTGAGACTCTGCTTTCAGTTCTTTTGGGGTATATACCCAGAAGCAGAGTCACCGGATCACAGGATAATTCTACTTTCAATTTTTTGAGGCACCACCATATTGTTTTCCACAGCATCTGACCTACTTTATACACCCATCGACAGTGCACCAGGGTTCCGATTTCTGCAAGTCCTCAACACACTTGTTATTTTCTGGGTTTTTTGTTTTGGTTTGGTTTAGGTTTTGATAGGTGTCTTATCGTGGTCTTGATTTGCATTTCCCTAATGATTAATGCAGTTGAGCATTGTTTTTTTTATTTGCTTTCCTGTATCTTCTCTGGAGAAATGTCTGTTCACATCCCTGGCGGTTTGTAATTGGGCTATTTGTCTTTTTATTATTGAGTTGTAAGGGTTGCATAATATACTAGATATAAGTCCCATCATAATTATGCTTTGTAAATAATTTCTCCTCTTCTGTAGGGTTCTCTTCTTTTTCTTGATGGTATTTGAAACGTGAGTTTTTAGTTTTGGTAAAGTCTAATTCAACTACTTTTTGCTTTTGTGGCTTGTGATTTTTGATGTTATATCTAAGAAGGCTTTGCTTAATCCAAAGTCACTAATGTTTACTCTTATTATTTTCTTCTAAAGGTTTTGTAGTTTTAGTTATTAAATTTAGGTCTTTGCTTCATTTTGAATCCGTTTTTGTGTGTGGTGTGATGTGGGGGATCCAACCTCATTTTTTTAGCATGTAGGTAGTTGTCCCAGCACCATTTGTTGAAAAGACTGTTCTTTCCTCATTGAATTGTCTTTACACCCTCGTCAAAAATCAATTGACCATAAATAGGAGGGTTTCTTTTCTTAAAGATTTTATTTATTTATTTGAGAGAGAGCGAAGTGAGATAGAGAGAGGACTGAAGGAGAGGGAGAAGCAGACTCCCTGCTGAGCAGAGAGCCCGACGAGGGGCTCGATCCCAGGACCCTGGGATCATGACCTGAGCTGAAGGCAGACACTTAACCGATTGAGCCACCCAGGTGCTCCAAGAGGGTTTATTTTCATGGCTGTCAGTTTTATTCCATTTATCTATGTCTATCCTTGCACCAGTACACAACGGTTTGGTTACTGTAACTTTGTAAGTTTAGAAATTAGGAAGTGTGAGTTCTCCAAATTTGTTCTATTTTTTTTAAGATTTATTTCTTCGAGAAAGAGAGAGAGAGAGCGAGCAAGAGCAGGAGGGGCAGAGGGAGAGTGAGAGAGAATCTCAAGCAGACTCCAAGGGCTCGATCCCATGACCCTGAGATCATGACCTGAGCTGAAACCAAGAGTTGGACACTTAACTGCTCCACCCAGGTGCCTGTTCTTTTTTTTTGCAAGATTGTGTTGACTATTCTGGGTCCCTTGACGTTCCATGTGAATTTTAGGATCAGTTTCTGCAGAGAAGCCAGCATGATTATGATAGGGGTTGTGTAGTTGTGTTGAATCTGTAGATCAATCTGGAGAGTATTCCCTATTTAATGATGTCAAATCTTGTGATCCGTAAATATGGGTATCTTTCCATTTATTTAGATCTTCCTTAACTTCTTTCAACATTGTTTTGTGGTTTTCAGAGTATAAGCTATACATTAAAAAAATGTATTCCTAAGTATTTTAATTCATTTTGAGGCTACTTGATGGAATTACTTTCTTAATTTCATTTTCTGATTATTCATTGCTAGTGTATATCCAACTGCTTTGAGGGATATACTTGAGCTCTGTTCGTTTCCTTACTCTGTGCTTTTCAGCATTTCATAGATTTTTAAGTATTTTTTCTCAGTGCTATCTCTGCCTGATTTTGAGCTTTCTTAAAAGTCCAATTCTGTAGCGTAGGCTTATCCTTGGGCAGTCTTGTGCCCTCTGGAGGGTTCTGTTGCCCAGCCCCTGAGATCATAAAGCCATCCATCCCAGCCTGCTGAATAACAATCAGCATGGGGACCTCATGTTTGGCTGGACTGCTCTGAACTTGATTTTTTTTAACCTGGAATTCTGCCATAATTATTTTTTCATGTAAACATATACATAAAATATGGCTGTGTTAGAATGAAGTTTTCTTTTAATTTTTAAAAAAGATTTATTGATTTATTTTAGAGAGATAGTGCATGTGTGCAGGGAGGGGCAGAGGGGAGGGCATCTCCAGGCAGACTCCCCACTGAGTGCAGAGCCCAAGGTAGGGCTCAATCTCCTGACCCTGAGATCATGACCTGAGCCAAAACCAAGAGTAGGACGCCTAACCAGCTGAGCCACCCAGGTGCCCCAGAATGAAGTTTTAAAGGCCCACAAAATGAAACTGCCAATTTTTGGGTTCTGCATCCAGTCTTCTTTTCTGCATTTCAATTTGCCTAATGATGCATTTGCCAAAAATAGTGGAGAGCTTACATTTGTATCCATTTTCTGTGTACTGTTATGTCATGATTATTTCCCTGTGTTAGTATAGTCTCCATAAAAAGCTGTAGTGACTATGTAATATTCCACTGAGTAGGTGCCCTATAAATTAGTGATCCATTCTTTTATTTTTATTATTATTATTAATTAATTTATTTATTTATTCATAAGAGACAGAGAGAGAGAGAGAGAGGCAGAGGGAGAAGCAAGCTCCCAAGGAGCAGGGAGCCCGGTGAGGGACTCGATCCCAGGACCCTGAGATCATGACCTGAGCCGAAGGCAGACGCTCAACCATCTGAGCCACCCAGGTGCCCAGTGATCCATTCTTTTAATGTTGAACATTTATTTTCAGTCTTTCACTACTATAAGTAACATTGCAAAGAACTATGTTCCTAAGAGCTTTCGGTATTTAGGAGTATTTCCTTACCAATAGAATCCTAGAAGTGGAATTAGTGAGTCCAATGATGTCGTGGTTTCGAACTTTAGCTATATCTCTGCATCACATTACCAAGGGTTGAACACTTTCCTTTATCCAAGTGGTGGATGGGATGTCCATGTCACCTCACCCCTACCTGCACTGGGTAATAGACTTTTAAAGTGCTGATCTTAGAGTTTAAGAAACTGCATCTCATTTGCAAATTGTTAATATCTTGATTACCAAGAATGTTTGCAAAAGGTCAGTTTATGGCCTTTTCTCATTTAGTTATTAGGGTCATCATCGTGTTTTCTGGACAGCTTTATTTTCTTCTTTATTTGACCCTCAGAATTATTTAAAGTTTACATGGCATCAATTATGTTGTTTCCTTTGTGACTTCTTCTAAAAACCTGCTGTCGTTTTTTAAAAAATTGTTTTCATGGTCTTTGTTCTTTAATGGATGTACTGTGGAGGTCCTCTTTCTTGACTTCTCCAGGTCAAGTCTGAGGGGAGAGGGCCAGAGGTAATGGAGAAGTGGGGGCTAAGTGCCCCCATTGGGACAGCATGACGCAGGCTTCATTTTTGCTTGTGGTATCCTCTCTGATCTGTGCCTTCAAGTTTGCTGTTTCTTGTAGAATAAGCCTCAAGTGCTTTAGTCCAGTTGGCTCACAATTACGTATTGAAAACCAGAAGGACATACCTTGAAACATTAACGGGCATTATCCCTGGGTGACAGGACTATGGGGGATTTATTTATTTACTTTTCTGCATTTTGTAAGTTGTCTATAGCGAACTCTTTCACAGTGAGAAAATAAATGTTTTTTGTTTTTTTTAAATGTGAAAGGGTTCAAAGCCAGTAAATAGAAAAAAGCCCCCTTAATCGGATGTATCATTTCCTCTGAAGAGGCCATCCGGTCTTGTCCCTGGAATGCTGGTGTGCAGTATGTCAGGCCTGCAGGGGACTTTGTCTGTAGGTGATCTCCGTCCATCTGGGCCCAGGAGTTGACCCTGGGCTTGAAACCTGGCTGTAGCTGGGACCTGGGGGGTATCCGGGCTCCTGGGTACTTTCCTTACTTCTTGCCCAGCTGGATTCACTCCTGCTTGCGAAAAGCTGACAAAAACAAGGACAACAAGATGAGCTTCAAGGAGCTGCAGAACTTCCTGAAGGAGCTCAACATCCAAGTGGATGACAGCTATGCCCGGAAGATCTTCAGGGTGAGGCAGGGAGTGAGGGTTGGGTCTGTGTGGCCGTGGGCCCGGGACCCTAGTGGGGAGCATGCTCTGAGCCCTGCCCCCCCGGCCTGGCAGGAATGTGACCACTCCCAGACGGACTCCCTGGAGGATGATGAAATTGAGGCCTTCTACAAGATGCTGACCCAGCGGGAGGAGATTGATCGCACCTTTGCCGAGGCGGCCGGTTCCAGGGAAACGCTGTCGGTGGATCAGTTAGTGACGTTCCTGCAGCACCAGCAGCGGGAGGAGGCGGCAGGGCCTACACTGGCCCTCTCCCTCATTGAGCGCTATGAGCCCAGTGAGACTGGTGAGAGTCTGGCTGGGGCCTTTGGCCTGCAGTCCCTGGGGCCACACCGTGCTGGGAGACCCCTGGGGAGACTACAGACCGAGTGTAGGGAGCTGGAGGGAAGGGGGGCACCCTGGTCAGTATTTGCTTGCCCCCTGAAAGCAAGCAGATGGGAGACAGGGCTCCAGCATCACCACCCCTCTCTTGGTTCCTTGTCCAGGGGGTTTTGTGGACTCCTCCTCCAGGAAATAGAGAGGAGGCTGGAAAAGCAAACCCTTTTCCTGCTTCCATCCTGGGACGGGCTTTGAGATGGACAGACGGGGCCCTTCCCTGGAGGGGCTTCAGTCTGGAGGCCCAGAGAAGGAGGAGATGAGGCTTCAGGCGGTCTCACAGTGTGGGGGACCGAGGAGAAGACAGGGCCCCACCCTGGGGTAGTCACAGTCTGACGGTTGACTCAAACTCACCCCCTCCGAGAGCTATCAAGGTCCAGCTCTGGACAGGGAGGCAGGGACAGCTGGGGGCTCCCCTCCCCGAGCGGTGGCGCCCGGAAGGTCTCCTGGAGGTGGCTGGCCTGGCGGGAAGGGCTCTGACGCGCAGGCCTCGTCCTTCGCAGCCAAGGCGCAGCGGCAGATGACCAAGGACGGCTTCCTCATGTACCTGCTGTCCGCCGACGGCAGCGCGTTCAGCCTGGCGCACCGGCGGGTCTACCAGGACATGGGCCAGCCACTCAGCCACTACCTGATGTCCTCCTCGCACAACACGTACCTGCTGGAAGACCAGCTCACGGGACCCAGCAGCACCGAAGCCTACATCCGGTGGGGCCCGGGGCGGGGGCGGGGCGGGACGGCCTGGGGGCGGGGCCGGGCGGGGCCGGGCGGGCACTGAGGGCCTAGCCGCCACGCTTCCCCGCAGGGCGCTGTGCAAAGGCTGCCGCTGCCTGGAGCTCGACTGCTGGGACGGCCCCAACCAGGAGCCGGTCATCTACCACGGCTACACTTTCACCTCCAAGATCCTCCTCTGCGACGTGCTCAGGGCCATCCGGGACTACGCCTTCAAGGTTGCGCGCGCCCCTGGCGGGTGAGGAGGGCCGCGGTACGGGCGGCCCGCCCCTCCTAACCTGCCCTGGGGCCTCCAGGCGTCCCCCTACCCCGTCATCCTGTCCCTGGAGAACCACTGCAGCCTGGAGCAGCAGCGTGTGATGGCGCGACACCTGCGCACCATCCTGGGCCCCATGCTGTTGGACCGGCCGCTGGACGGGGTCACCACCAGTCTGCCTTCCCCTGAGGTTCGCGGTGGGCATGGGGGTACCCAGACGAGAGGGCAGGTGGACTGGCTGGGAGGCCAGCTGGGTCTTGACGAGCTGCTCCTTCCTTCTTAGCAACTGAAGGGGAAGATCTTGCTGAAGGGGAAGAAGCTGGGGGGGCTCCTGCCCCCTGGCGGGGAGGGTGGCCCTGAAGCCATTGTCGTGTCTGATGAGGATGAGGCTGCTGAAATGGAGGACGAGGCCGTGAGGAGCCGCGTGCAGCGCAAGTCCAGGGTTCGAGGGGGAGCTGTGGGGGAGGGGGCAGCCCTGGGGCCCTCCCCCATCATGGGATGTTTGCCTTGTCTCAGTTCTCTGTGGCTGCCACTCAGACCCTCTGCCCCCCTCTCTCTGTCTGTCTCCCTCTCTGTCTCTCCGTGTCTGGGTTTCTGGCTCTCTCAGTGCCCACCTGCCCCAACCTCTGAATCTAACCTGGGCCTCCCCATGGCCCCCAGGAGGACAAGCTCAGGCTAGTGAAGGAGCTCTCCGATATGGTCATTTACTGCAAGAGTGTCCACTTTGGGGGCTTCCCCAGCCCTGGCACCCCAGGGCAGGCTTTCTATGAGATGGTGTCCTTCTCTGAGAACCGCGCCCTCCGACTGCTCCAAGAGTCAGGTGAGCCCCGGCCCTGCATTCTCAGGGGGCTGGCAATCCGTCTGACCATTTGGACTGGCCTGGGCCAGGCCTGGCTCCACTACTCGGGAAGTGCACAGCACTCCCTGCTGTTACCAGAGGGGGGCGGGGGGCAGGGGTGGGGTGGGGTTGGGGCTCACCGGGAGGCCTGTGCTTCTGACCACCCGCACACCCTTTTCAGGAAACAGCTTTGTTCGCCACAATGTCAGTCGCCTGAGCAGGATCTATCCTGCTGGGTGGAGAACAGACTCCTCCAACTACAGCCCCGTGGAGATGTGGAACGGGGGCTGCCAGATCGGTATGGGCTGGCAGGGGCTGAGGAGGCCGGGCTGAGGGTTTCAGTCCAGAGGGCCAGGGGTCAGGAGCCTCTGGGGAGGGACTTGCGGGCTCAGGCACTAGTAGTCTCGGTTTGGACATATGCCCCTGCCAGCAAGTCAGGGTCTGAAATCGCCTCATTAGCACAGTCGTCCTTTGAATTCTGGCACCAGAAATGGAATGTGGGCTGGTGTGGTGGGTCGGTGACGGTGGCAGGGCGGCAGTAGGCATTGGAGTGATGCCGGACCCTGCTTCTGCCACGCCATGTTACCCTAAGGCCTCAGTGTACCCTGGGTAGGCTGGGCTCTAGGGCCCCCGGGTCAGCCCACAGCCTATGACTGCTCTGTCCTGCCTCCAGTGGCCCTGAATTTCCAGACCCCTGGCCCAGAGATGGATGTGTACCAGGGCCGCTTCCAGGACAACGGGGCCTGTGGCTACGTGCTGAAGCCTGCTTTCCTGCGAGACCCGAATTCTACCTTTAACTCACGTGCCCTGGCTCAGGGGCCCTGGTGGACCTGGAAGCGGCTCAGTGTCAGGGTATGGCCAGCCGCCGCAGGGACAGGAGCCCGTGGGCCTCCCTCCCCGCCACCCTTCCTGAACCCTCTCTGTCCCTTGCCCGTGCTCAGGTCATCTCTGGACAGCAGCTGCCGAAAGTCAACAAGAATAAGAATTCAATTGTGGACCCCAAGGTGACGGTGGAGATCCACGGTGTGGGCCGGGACGTGGCCAGCCGCCAGACTGCCGTAGTCACCAATAACGGTACTTGCTGGGCGTGGGTGGGGCCCGGCCCCTGGAGCTGGTCCGCACTGTTGACGTGGGGCTTGTACTGCCAGGTTTCAACCCATGGTGGGACACAGAGTTCGTGTTTGAGGTGGTCGTGCCTGAGCTTGCCCTCGTGCGCTTCGTGGTGGAGGATTATGACGCGTCCTCTAAGAATGACTTCATTGGCCAGAGCACCATCCCCTTGGGCAGCCTCAAGCAAGGTTTGTTGAGGGGGAGGGACGACAAGGTGGAGGCGGCGGGGCCTGTTATCTCTTGGGCTGGGCCGTTGTCCCTTGGAGCATCCTCACCGAGTGACCGGAACTCTCCGTGTGCTCTTTCCTGCCCATCCCCCTGCCAGGATACCGCCATGTCCACCTCTTGTCAAAGAACGGAGACCAGCACCCATCTGCCACCCTCTTTGTGAAGGTGTCTCTCCAGGACTAGGTTTGGGGGTTCTGATGGGGCTGCTCCAGGCAGACCAGGCCCTCTGTCCCCATGTAGGGAGAGGGCTGGTGTGGCTGCTCCGCACCTCTCGCTTGGAGCTAGAGGCCCTGCACTGCCTTCAGCTCTAACAGACGTCTGCTGCTGCCTCCCTGGGGTCTCAGGAGCTGGCCCAGTCCCCGGAGCTCTCCTCGATTCCATTAGGAAAAGCACTGCAGCCCGCTGCCGTCGGGCCTGGCCCTGGGTCGAGGGTTTTTATAAAAGTTATGACTAAGTCCTGTGGTCTCTTTACCTGAATGCCAGAAAGTTCCTATAAAGGGCACGTGTGTGTGTGTGGGGGGGAAACACTGGAGCCCCATCACCTCTCTCTCCACGTCCCCCACACGGACACTGTATGAGGATTGTCTGTCCCCTTGGGCAGGAAGGACCAAGGAGAAACAAACACCTCCATGGAAGACAGTGGAGAGAGCTCAGTCCTCTGGAATGTCACAGACCACCCCCTCCAGTCCCAGAGGCCCCTTCCCCCCAGAGCTGGACCAACTGAGTGACCCAGACTTGAAAGCCCACACACCACACCTCGTGAGGGCCACCAGCTTTTATTGACCGGGGTGGAGGGGTTGACCTGGGAGTCTCCAGCTAGGCTTTGCCAGCGGGGTCTCCCGGCGGGCTCAGGTATGTGTTGGGAAGGTACGCGTGGGGGTCCTGGCTATGTGGGTGGCACTGGCAGGGGCAGGGCCTGGGGTCAGAACAAGCCAAACTGCTTTTTCTCCTGCTGCTGCCTCCACTTGGCCATGCTATAGAATTCTTCCTTGGATTTCCCAAAGATATCTTGGAAGTCAGAGTCGGAGAGATAGAACTGCGGGGCGGGGGGAGGAGAGAGTACAGGGGCAGGGTGTCAACTGATCCCAGAATCCTGTCCCATTGGCCCGGTGGTGCCATCCCAGGGCTCAGGGCTCTCCTCCCCCACATCTCTCTGCCCATTATCCCATCCGGAAGACATCTCCCTGGGCCCGTCCCCGGGCAGCGGGCCCATCGCGCACCATCAGTGGGTCATGCCCCGGGCACCTCCAGCTCAGTTTGAAATGCATCAGTGAGTGGCAGGGGGCCTCGGGCACCCACCTCCTTGTGGGCTGGGTCAACGCCCTCTGGCAGGTCCTCGGCAGCCTGGTGCATTAGCTGTTCGCGGGGCAGGCTCCCACTGGTGGGGGGTCTGGGGCTGCTGTGGAAGCTGCCGGTGCTGGTGCCCCCGGCCTTGGGCCCTAGCTGCAGCTCGTTCCCTGAGCCCTCCTGGGAGCCCTTGAGGGCCCGCGGGGTCAAGGGGCCTGCGCTGCCATTGCTTGGCCCTCTAGAGAGCTGCAAGTTGTCCAGTTCCTGCCGGGAGAGGGCACTCACGCTGGGGATATGGGGGCGAGGCTCCCACGGGGAGGCCACACTGAGCCCACAGCCCTCTTGCCCCCATTGCAAACCCTGCCACCCACCAGGGCCTGGCTCCTTCCTTGCCCATCCTGCCCACCCGGGCCATGTCGAGCAAGCCCAGTCCCCAGCGGGAGCTTGGCAGGCCCGATACTCACTGCTGTTATAACTATGGCAGGTTTTGCTCCCAGGGTGCCATCCACCACCTCCTCATAGGACTGGTTGTTCTGGGGGCAAGAATCAGGACAGAGCAGGATGGAGGGCACCACTGGAACCCAGGGGGCGGCGGGCTGCGAACAAGACCCGGGCTCCTCTTCCCACACTGGAAATCCCCAGACAAGGCAATGCCTCCTCCCAGTGTGCCCAGGGCAGGCCCCTCTCCCTGGGGTAGGGTGGGGCTGGAAGTGCAGGCCTCACTCACAGTCCACTTGTAAGGGTCCCAGGTGAGGAACCATCCAGTGAAGGTGGGAGGCTCGTGGCCCTGCTTGATCACCACGATGGGCGTGGCAGGGCTCCTCGTTGCGGGGTGCGTCTTCAGGTACTCACGGCCCCAGGCCACCGCCTCCTTCCACTCACTGGCAGCTTCCCCGAGCCACAGGAAGATCTGGGCCACAGAGGGGGCCTGGCCTTGGGCAAGTGGAGGGGCTGCCCAGAGCTGACCACTTCCTTCCCAGCCCCATCTATTAAATGGTCTCACGATCCCGCACACATCCCAGCCAGCCAGGCACACCAGGCAGGCTGGCCGCCACACCACCCACACACCCATAAATGTGGTGGACGGTCACAGGCACACATGTATACATTCAATCCACAAATACTTATTGAGTTCCTATTGTGTGCCAGGCATTTGGGAATTCAACAGTGAGAAAACAAAACAGGCAAAAATCCCTGCCCTTATAGAGCTTTCATTTTATTGGGGGGAGACAGAAAAATAAGTACATAAATTAAGTAAAATATGTACTGTATCAGAGAAAAGTAAGGCAGGGAAAGAAGACAAAATGTGGTGGGTGTGTGTCGGGGGGGTGGTGAGGATGACTAATTTTATTTTATTTTATTTTTATTTTTTTTAAGATTTTATTTATTTATTTGAGAGAAAATGAGACAGAGAGAGCATGAGAGGGGGGAGGGTCAGAGGGAGAAGCAGGCTCCCTGCTGAGCAGGGAGCCCGATGCGGGACTCGATCCTGGGACTCCAGGATCATGACCTGAGCCGAAGGCAGTCGCTTAACCAACTGAGCCACCCAGGCGCCCCAGGATGACTGTAATTTTAAATTAGAATCAGAGAGAGTCTTACTGAGAAGGCGACATTTGAGTAGAGATCTGGGGGAGGTGGGGGGAGCAAGTCGAGTGTTCTAGCCAGAAGAAACAACCAGTGCAGGGGCCCTGAGCACGCCTGGGCAATTTCAGGGAGCAGCAAGGGGGCCACTGTGGCTAGAGCAGAGCAAGTGGAGGTGTGGGAGCAAATCCGCTCAGAGAGTCGGGGCCGCCAGGTCATGTGGGCTGTAGTAAGGGCTTTGCTTTTGCTCTGAGATGGGAACACACGAGCCTTACGGCCACATTCAATGTCACAGACACACACGATCACAGCTGTACACTTGTAGTCCTCCACTGCCGCAGAGCCACTCACTGTCACCCACAGTCACACAGAGCTGCATGTAAACAAGATCGCACTCCATCACACAGCTGTGCTCACTCCTCCTGAAAAACACAGGCAGCCCCCAGACCTGCCTCATAAAGCCTCTCAGACATAGTGACCCTGCCCGACAGTCACTCAGGCTACGGCCAGTCTCCTAGTCTCCCGGTTCCCCCAGTTACAGCCAGTGCGGGACCACACGGCCGCTCCATGGAGGCAAGCACCGTCCCACAAAGGAACCACACACGCTCGTGTCTCCAACCACTCGCATGGACACATTAGCCACGGGCACCCAGTCACCTGGAGTCACACCGCTGTAAGGCACCCAGACGCAACTACAAAACTGCTCACAATCTCACAGCCAGTCTCCTACAGCTTCGCGGTGACACACGGTTGTCCCTGGTCGCGCAGTGCAGTCACTCACAGCGTTACCGTGCCACCCCCAATCACACAGACTCATCCGCAGGCTGACATGGCTGGAGACACACAGTTACACACACTCGACCCCAGCTGCGCAGACACGGACGCCCCCCCTTCACACCCCAGCCAGCCGGGGGTCGGGGGGCGCCTCACCTCCTGCCAGGTGTCCAGTAACATGATGTCATACTTGTCCAGGTCCTCTTGGCTAAAGAACACCACTTCTGTGAGGACCAGGTGGCCCATCTGGCTGGAGCACTCAAACAGCCGTGGCTGGAAGCTGGAGACGTCCTCGGGAAGCCTGGCCAGGGCGGGCAGCCAGGCAGTGAGGGGCGCAGAGACAGCTGGGCCTCTCAGCAGCCTGGGCCAAGCTAGCCCTCAGCACAGGGCCTCTACCTGCCCCCACCCCCGGATGGGCAACAGCTTCTCCTGGAGCGGGAGGCCTGCGCCCTCCTCTGGGCTCCCCCCAGCCCATAATTCCCTCCGGGGATGCCCAGCTGCTCTCTGGGCTCCAGCGTCCCCGTCTGTCAGTGGGAAAGCCCACTAAGTGACCTGTCTAGCCACAGCCAGCTGTGACACACGCTGCCCCAGGAACTTCCCCAGGAGTGGGCCCTGGGAAGGGGATGGCCGGCTCAGTGGGGCTGGGTTGGGGGGAGGGGTGTTAAGCTGGGGCCCTGCCCTCCCCAGGAAGGAGGGGGTCCTGGTCCTGGCTGGCTGCTCAGGGGACTTGCGGGGAGTCCAGTGCATCAACCGGGCCCCACAGACACTCATAGCAGCCCGACTCAGCAACCTCCTCCCTTGAAGGTCTCACCCTGCCTTACCTTCTGATACACACCCTTGTCCTTTTACACAGTCCACACATACGTTTATTGACACGTCACATTACCCCACCCCCTACCCCCCCATACAAAGACACACACACACACACACACACTTGGCACCATGACCCCTGGGGACTGTGGGCTGGGAATGGGGCTTTGCCCTCTTGCCCTCTACCATTGGGAAGGTCCAGGGAACTGGGCAATGCAGGGAGCATGTTTGGCCAGAAGAGGGCGAGACTATCCTGCTCTCCATGGCATCTTCCTGATCCCTGTTAACCCAGGGCTGGGGAGGGAAGGGTGGGCTGTGCTCCTGGGAACCCTGGAATGGGGAACCAAGAGACCTCAGTTCTAGTGTGGCCTCTCCAGCTCTCTGTGTGACCCTTAAGTCGTCACCCACCCTCTCTGGGTCTCAGTTTCCTCCTCTGTAGAAGGAGAACACCCTCCTCCCAGCCCTGTCACCTCTTGTTGCTGGGGTAGGGAGCTCGGCCTCCCAGGGCCTCCCAGAAGTGGGGAGGCTCCTGACCCTCCAGCACCGTTTCCTTGTTCTCCCCAGAAATGGCAGTGACCACCGTCCGCGCCATCTCACGCTGGTCACCGCTGCAGCCCTGGCAGACAAAGAGGTGGGTCAGGCCCTGAAGGGGGAGGGGTCTTGGCCTCCAGCCCCACCTCCCCCACTCACAGGGGACTCTGGGAGACTGGGCTTAAGTCAGTGGAGGCCTAGGCTGATGGCAGGGTGCACATGAGCCAGGGATCTCTCCTTCCCCACTCCCAGAACTGGGACCCTCTCCTGGTCCAGAGAATGGGATGAGGACCCCAGGCTCAGGGACCATTTACGGTTTATGTTAAAGATCAGAGAAAACTCTGGCAAACTGGACTAGGCCTCCTCTTTTTCCCAAGAGACTCGGGAAGGGTCATGCTCCTTGCTCGAGGCAGGAAGGAGAGGCAGCCTGGGCCTGGCCTGCCTCTGACCAGTAGACTCCCAGGTCTACCTGTCACGTTCAACTCCCCACTGTGGCCTTTCCCCTGCCCCACTCCTGGCCTGTCTGAGGTTGGACATGGAAGTCTGCCTCCCCTGTGGAGTAGAGCCATCCCTCGCCTGGCACACGACCCCAGGCATGAGTCGAGTGGCCAGGGTCAGAGGTACCTTTCCAAACCAGAGGTAGCAGGGGCCAGCTGTGACCAGCAAGAAGATGTCAGTGGAGCGGAGAGCTGAGGCACGGGCCGTCACCTCCACGGTCTTGGTGTTGTAGCTGTCTGTGCCTTGCACATGGAAGAGCCTCGTGGCAGGTGCTGGCTGCCCCTTCCCATCGTGCCCCGCGTGCCCCTACAAGAGGGCTGGGCCTCAGGACGAGGCAAGGGCTCCTGGGAGCCGCCTCCCTGACAAAAGACAAAGCCTGTTCAAAGGCTGAAAGGAAAATACTTCCTTACGCAAACTGCCCTGGGGCCCAGCAGACCCTCGCCTGAAGCCACCACTACCTTCTAGACCCTCCGAATGTGGAGGGCGAGGATCCCATCAGCCTAGGATAGGGAGCCAGGCCCTTTCTTCGTGGACCCCTCCCCCAACTCCGAGGAGGCAGGTCATGGTTCCCCCAGGCCTGAGGACGGAAAATAGCGACCCCAGGCGAGGCCCTCCTCCCTTCCGATTTAGCTTCCTCACCTGTGCTTCTGCTGTGTGGCTGGCTCTGGGTACCAGACGAAGAGACTCAGGCAGGGGGCACCCTTGGAGCTCCCACCCAGGTGTCTGACAGCACCGGGAGGGACACCAGGGGTAGTAAGCAGGGGCACCCCCCGGCTGAGTGAAGCCTCGCCCTCATAGAAGGGCTACATGGGCCCATGGAGGAGCCGGTGAGCTTGCAGGAACAGCAGCAAGGTGGCCTTACCTGGAAGACCACCAGCTGGCCCTGGAGGATGGCGAGGAAGTGAGGGGGCTCGCTACCCATGGTCACGTGTTCCCGCACCAGGGCTCCACGGTACATGAGGTCCAGCTGCTCGGCGTGGCAGTTCAGGGTGCTGATCTCACGTGTGGTGGCCTGGTGGCCCTGCAGGTGGGGGTGGTAAGGGCCGGGTGCAGCTCTTGGCTCCCCTTCTCAGATCCTCAGCTCTGGGGCTTGAAGGTGCCTCCCCCTCCCCCTCAGGCCGGCACACCTGCCACAGATACAGGAGGTACTGGACGCGGCCCATCTTCTGGTATGTGTAGAGGACCAGGTAGCAGCTGCCCGCGTACAACTGTCCGTGATGCTTGGGGTCCACGGGCTGTCTGCGTAAGTCCTGGATGCACCACACCTGTGGAACGGAGGACCAGTGCACCCAGGTGGCTCCTCCACTTGAACCAGTCCGCCCAGCCTGTGCCCAGCCAGTGAGCTCTCCTCAGCCTCAGGGCGGGCCTCATCCAGGCAGGCAAGGGCTCTCCTGGGCTTGCGCAAGGATCTGCAGGCGACCCTGTTCCCCGTGGGCCCCTGGGCCCTACCACACTTGTACTGGTCTGCTGTCAGTCAGGACAGAGTTGGCGTGTGGTGCCTGGGACAAGCAAGCCTGAGGACTCCAGAAGCTGCCCAGACAGACCTAAGCCGTGCCACATACCACCCCCCACCCTGCCCCCCACCAACCACAGGCACGTTAGGGGCAGGCAGGTTCTAGTCCAGCTGCTCGCTGCTCAGGCCAGGTCTGCAGAAGCTGGGCAGACACACGGCCTCGGGGCTCTTGGGAAAATTCTCTTTTCTCAAGTGTCACTTAAAGAGACAAAGCCTGGGGGCGCCTGGGTGGCTCAGTCGTTAAGCGTCTGCTTTCGGCTCAGGTCATGATCCCAGGGTCCTGGGATCGAGCCCCGCATCGGGCTCCCTGCTCCGCGGGAAGCCTGCTTCTCCCTCTCCTACTCCCCCTGCTTGTGTTCCCTCTCTCGCTGTGTCTCTCTCTGTCAAATAAATCAATAAAAATCTTAAAAAAAAAAAAAAAAAGACAAAGCTTGTTCAAAGGCTGAAAGGAAAATACTTCCTTACGCTTAATAGTATGATTTCCTGTTCCTAGTGGGTAGTGAGCATGGGCTCTGGAGCCAGGCTCCAGATCCTAATCAAATCCCAGGTAGGCCCTGTGTGGGCAGTGAGACCCTTCTGAGCTTCGGCTTTTCCCATCTGTAAAGTGGTCATAACAACACCCACCTTGACAATGGCAGGAAACAATTCCCGGACAGCTTTCTCTGGGGAAGATGTCCTCCGGAGCAGAGCTACCAGAATCCTGCCTTTTGCAGAAGAGGCTGTTTCTGACCACATGCTTTACCCAGGAGCAGCCCTTATCTGGCAGCCAGGCCTCCTAGCTCAGGGGCTCCCCCCACCTGCCGGCCTGCTGGGAGGGATCCCCTCTCTGCCTCTGTGCTTGGAGCCTGAGTGGCAAGACCTTTACCCTCCTGTTTTCCTTTCTCCCTCTGTCTCTCCCTGTGTGCCCCATCTCTCCTGCTTTTCATCCCATCCCCCCACTCTGTCTCCTCTGTCTTCCTCAGTCTCTTCTGTCTCTCTCTGTCCCCATTCCCTGTCTTCCTTTCTCCCTGCTCCCCCAAGCCCTGCCATGTCTCCTCCTATCTTGGTCCCTTCTCACTAACAGTCTCTGTCCATCCATATTAGGGCAAATATAGGAAGAAACCTTGGAGAAATGGTATTTTCTCTGATCTCCACCTACCTGAAGAACTAGAACCCCAGAAGTCCTGTTCCCAGAATCTTACAGCATCCCCATACCAGCCAAGGGCCAGATGGGACCATAGTTTTTGCCCCCATTTATAGATAAAAACTGAGGCCCAAAGGACTTAAGGGCTCTACCAGGGATCAGATAACATGTCACAATGCAGCCCCTAAATCTCCCAGAACACTGGTCTGAGACCAGACAGGTGGCCGACTGTGACTGTGTGGGACTGTGACTGATTACATGTGATTGTGTACTATGTTGGTGTGTTCGTGTGGGTTGAGTGTTGTGTGTGACTGTGATCATGTGTAATGCAGAATTTGTGTAATGTAGAATTTGTGCAATTATGTTTGCCGCTGATGAACTTGGCTGGTTGGGTGCAATTAGAGTGTGCGTATATGTATTTGTATTATATATACGGTTGTGTCATATATTTAACAAAAGGGCACAATTAAGTATCTTGAAGTGTTACTGTGCTGTGTGCCAAGTGTTATGTGAACACAGCTGCACAGATTGATTAGGCGTGATGTGTATGAGCCCGCTGTAGGCAGGTGTGTGTACATGTACACATGCCCATAGGTGTCGCTGTGTGATGTGCAATTGCGTGTACTTGGGGCACTTTAGTAACCTGAAGTCAAGCCTACCCATGTGTGCCTATCTTCCCCCAGCCAAGCCAATGCCCCTTACCTCCACCTTCCCGGAGGCGTCGTCCACCATCCTGAGCTGGGCCGCTAGTTCAGGCTGACTGTGCAGCTTGCCCACATCCGGCCTTACCCGAATCAATTTACCTGAATCAGAGAGAGCATAGGGTGTCACTGGCGTCCTCGCCCCAGCCAACCCCGTCCCTCCCATCACTCAAGAAGCCCCCTCCGACCGCGCCCCCCCAATCCGGGGGCGCTTTCTGGGTACCGCCCCTTGTCGGTCCCACTCCATCCCCCCCATACCCGGCCCCGCGTCGGCCGCGCCCGGCTCCCCGCAACTCCCCGGGCCTCGTCCCGCCCGCTCTCCCATCCCACCGAAGTTCTGCGTGCCGCCCCGCGCCGGTCACGTCCCGCCCCCGCAGGCCACGCCACGCCCGCTCTCCCTTCCCTCCGAGGCTCTGGGTGCCACCCCACTCTGGCCCCTCCCCGCCTCGGCTACGCCCCCGCCCCCCCCGGCCTCGACCCGCCCTCGACCCGCCCTCGTCCCGCCCTCGTCCCGCCCGCTCCCCCCATCCCACCAAGGTTCTGGGTGCCGCCCTGCACGGGCCCCGCCCCGCCTCGGCCCCTCCCCGCCTCGGCCCCTCCCCGCCTCGGCTACGGCCCTCGCCACCCTCCCCCGACCTCGTCCCGCCCGCTCTCCCATCCCGCCTAAGTTCTGGGTGTCGCCCCGCGCCGGCCCCGCCCCACCCCTCAACCCCGCCCCGCGCCGACCGCGTCCCGCCCCCGCAAGCCACGCCACGCCCGCTCTCCCTTCCCTCCGAGGCTCTGGGTGCCACCCCACTCTGGCCCCTCCCCGCCTCGGCTACGCCCCCGCCCCCCCGGCCTCGACCCGCCCTCGACCCGCCCTCGTCCCGCCCTCGTCCCGCCCGCTCCCCCATCCCACCAAGGTTCTGGGTGCCGCCCTGCACGGGCCCCGCCCCGCCTCGGCCCCTCCCCGCCTCGGCTACGGCCCTCGCCACCCTCCCCCGACCTCGTCCCGCCCGCTCTCCCATCCCGCCTAAGTTCTGGGTGTCGCCCCGCGCCGGCCCCGCCCCACCCCTCAACCCCGCCCCGCGCCGACCGCGTCCCGCCCCCGCAAGCCACGCCACGCCCGCTCTCCCCTCCGAGGTTCTGGGTGCCGCCCTACACCGGCCCCGCCCCGCCTCGGCCCCGCCCCTCCCGCTCACTCATCCCGTCGAGGTTCTTGTTCCTTCGCTGGTTCGTAGACCAAGTCTGGAAGAGCTGTTTGAATGCGGCGGACTCGGCGCCGTCGTTCACCACCTCCACGTTGGTGTAGGTCGGATAGCCTTTGGCCTGGATGAAGGCCTGGGGCGGGGGCTCTGTCAGGCGCGCGGCCCGGAGCCCAATTCTCTGCTCCACCCGCAGGGACCTGTGGCTCAGCCAAGCCCTGAGCAGCATTAATTAACCGAGCTCATGACCCGCTTAAGAAGCTGGCTCCTTCACTACCAACTTCTCTGAGGTCCCTGAGGACAGGCAAGGTCCCCTTAGTCTGAGCCGCGGGAAGGGCGGGCGTGACAACACCCCCAGGCCCCAGGCAGAGACCTCCCTGTCTTCCCTCCTCGAAAGGGAGGAGGCGCCCAGTACGGTATGCTTCTCAGACCCGCAAGGCAGGCCCACGTTCCCCTTTTACACGCGGTTTCTTGGGTGCTCTCTGGTCACCCGCTCCCCGAACCGCTGTCAGGGCTCCCCCGGCAGGCTGCATGCCCCTGGTACCCGAGAGGGGCCCTGTGTTCTCCCCCAGACCCCTGGGCAGAACTGTGTCTCCATCCTCAGCTGGGGCGCTTTGTCTCCAGGCTTAGACCCCAGGGCAAAGTCATGTCCTCCTCTATCAGACAGGTTCCCAGGACAGGATGTATCCATCTCCTGGCCCAAGGGCAGGACTACCTCCCCTGAAGACCCGGGGAACGTGGATGTCTCCTAACTTAGATTTCAGGGTACCGCCATTTCTATCCTCACCCCCCAGGGCAGGGCTCCACCCGCCCCCTCAAAGGCAGCTCCCTTTGAGACAGGGCCCAACAGCTTCACCAGAGCTCTGCTGAAGGCAGCCTTTTTCTCTTGGAGGCCGGACATGCGTCCCTGCCACACGTAGATCTTGGAACCACCCTGGTCCAGGATGTAGTAGTCCTGGGAGCAGGAAGGGGACTGGTCAGGAGGTGGTCCAGACTGGGCTGGGGTTGTGGGTGGGTGGGGATGGATGAGGTGGCTGGGGCCAGGCCTGCCTCACCTCCTCCTGCAGTAGGTCTTGGGTTAGTGGGCAGGTCGCCAACTCCTGGATCACTAAGTCCTCATCCTTCTCACAAACGCTGGGGGATAGGCAACCAGATGTAGGCAGCTCAGCCCCTCTCTGGCCTGGCTCCGCTCCAGCTTCCTCTAGTCCTCCCCAAAGACAGATGGCATGGAATCTAGGGCCCTGAGCTGCAGTCTTGACATCACTGCAACCTTGCTGTGGAGCCTGAGGCAGCTCCCTGGCCCTCCAGTGCCTCAGTTGCCCTATCTGTACAATGGATTTCTCAGAAAGGCAGCCATGCAAGAGTACAGGCTGGGCCCAAAGCCCTATATGGCTTGCTCTGGCAACCCAGGGGACTTTCCTGGAGAGCTTGCCAGAGACACTGTGTTACTGCAGTAACGATAGACATGCAGACCCAGGCTACCCCACCCACCCTGCCCACTCCCAAGGTCTGCTCACTGGTAGAGGCGGACACTGGCCTTCTGCAGCTGGCTAATACTCTTGGTGGGCATGGTGGCATGCAGGTTGCCCACTCTGCAGCCCAGCACAGCTTCCATGACCTGCATGAGGTCAGTGGCTTCGACCTCGTCATCCACCACACCAATCTGGGCACGACCACCGCGCTCCCTGTCCTGAAGGCTGCAGGTCAGGGCCAGGCCCTGTAGGAGAGGACCTGGCAGTCAGGGCTTCCCCAGCATGCCTCCCCCGCACCGTTCACCACTCAGATAGTCCATCCCAGATCCTTCCTGTCACAGCTCAGCTCCCAGAGGCTGGAGTCAGAGGGGAGGCGTCATGGTATGCCAGCCTCCAAGGATACCAGTGCAGAGCCTGGGCTCAGCTTGCACATAGTAGGTGCTTCTCAGGTTGTAGCGGAGAACCAGGCCCACCTCTTGGGGTGGCTGGAGGGTGGGCACCTGGAGGATCACCCTTCTCCCTGAACTCTGCATCCCTTACTTCCCAGGGTAGACACTGACCCGTGCCTTCTCAGAAATGCTGGCCTCGGGCCCATTCCACTGGATCATCACCTTGCCCAGGTCCAGCAGGAAGATGTCACCCTTATTAAAGCTGTTCCAAGAGAGCTCCACCTGCCAGAGTCAGGAGGGGCAGGGCAGGAAACAGGGTGTCATACCATCAGGACCCAGGGGGAGGGGTTCCACACCTATCTCTGCCTACATGAGCACAGTCCACGTGTGTGCACGATGCAGTGGGCAACTGTGTATCTATGTGACCAGTGTTGTGGTGTGCAAGCGTGCATCCGTGCGACCGTATGAGACCTTGAAGGTCACCCTGTGGGGGTCGCTGTGTGCATCTGTAGGCACGTGTGACTGGGTAATGCTGCATTTCACAGGGTGGATGTGATTAATGCATGTTGATAGCTGCATATGTGTACACCTACATGTGTATACAAGTGGGTGTATGTATCTATCTATCCGCGTGTGCAGGGGTGTGTGTGTGCATGCTCATGTGTAGGGGGCACATCCAATGTGAACAAGTGTGTGAGCACATGGGTGACGATGTAGATGTGCCTGAGGCGGGGGGCAGTGTGTTGTCAGTGGAAAAGGACAGTTAGCATCCAGAGACACTTTGAGGGGCAAGAGGGCGGACTCTACATAATTAAGCCAATAGGGCAGGCAGAACCTGGGGCTGCACGTTGTCCCTGTGTGACCAGGGATGTAGGGTCACTGCCTCTGTGAGGACAGTGGGTGAGCCCGTGTGGGATTGTCACAGGGCTGCTATATGCCATATAGGCAGTAATGTGCACAACTCAGGTGTCACCATTCACATCGCAGACATCAAACACCCGGACGTTCATGATACCAAATCCCTGCCAGGTGGCAGCAACGTGTCGTGTTCTAACAAGATTGGTATTTCCCATTACTCTCCGACAGATGGAAGTAAGGGGCACTCTGCAGACTAGAGTGGGGCTCGGGGGACCGATGGGAGACAGTGTGTGTGCCTACAGGTGATAGGGACGATGTGTATGAAGAGTGTGGGGCTGTGCAGCCCCCACCCCACATCGTGCTACTTCCCACCGTGTGGACCACGGGGACCATCCGGGTGCACCATTTTGTCCTCCTCACCCCTCCAAGTTCTTCCTGTGCCATGGGGTGGATGACAAAACAGGGTGAGAGGAGCCCAGTGGTGGGGTGGGGCTAGGAGCCTGGCTCCGCCTCTTCTCTCCTCATTCAAGAGAGGCCATCTGGGAGTGCTGACAGCCCGTGGTCCCCCCTGCCCGACCTGCACCCTCCACACTTCCCGATACTGCAGTCCCCACAGTCTGGCCTGAGCCTGGCGATGGAGCGGCATCCCCAGCAGCCCTCACCTCGGTGGCTGACACGTGCTTCCTCCCTTGGATGCGCAGCAGTCGCTGGATGTTGTACACGTTGGTCTCCACATGCCTGAGGGCAGAGGCCAGTCCTCCTTGCCTATAGCTGAGGAGGGAACGGGCTCTCCTGGAAGACCACACATTGCTGTGTGCAGGCGTGAGCGCAGACGTGGGGAGACGCAGGAGTCTGTGTACAAGCGGGGGCATATGGGGATCTGTCCGTGCAATACAGACGTGAGTGCATGGAGGCTGGGCAACAGCATACACGTGGGCACACAAACACATATATATGTAGGTGTGCCCACCTACTGGCCCATCCTATAGGAGTGGTGTGTTTTCCGCACGTGTGTGTATAAATACGCTCCTGTCTACGCTATATGCATGTGTGAGGCTTAACTGTATGAAACAGCAATGAGCAAATACTGGCGTTTTCCTACGGTTTAACCTAATATATTGCAATTGTTAATTTAGTCTATAGTTGAAGCAATTTACAGCCAAAGACGTATTTCTACTGGGCACAGTAACATAAAGGCAAACTCAAAACAACATTGGTATCCAATCCCGGGTCTACACCCAAGAGAAGTGAAACACACGTCTGCACAAAAGCTTGTAGATAAGATGGGTGTTTACTAAACTTAGGGTGGTGATCTGGTCACAATACTTGTAAGTCACACCATCATGCTGTACCCCTCAAACTATACAGTGATGTATGTCAATTATCTCAATAAAACTAGAAAACAAACCCACCCCAAAACATGTATACAAATGTTCATAACAGCATTATCCATAACAGCCCCAAAGTGAAAGCAATCCAAATATCCCATAAGTGATAAATACATAAATAAAATGTGTTCTATCCCCACATCATGTGCTGTATAATTCCATTTATAAAAATGTCCAGAATAGGCAAATCTATACAGACCGAGGAAAGAAAATGTTGGGGGGAAATGGGGAGCGTTGTGAAGGGTATGGGGTTTCTTTTTGGGGTGACGGAGGTGTTCTAAAACTGTGCTCATGGTTGCACAAGTCTGTGGCTAGACTAGAGATCACTGAATTTATACTCTAAATGGGCCGGTTGTATGGTATGAGATTTGTAAGTGGGGGGGAACGTCTCCCCCTACCCCAGCACCCCCACGAGAAGAGAGTCAGCCCAGCCTCCCAGCGACCCCCCCCCCCCGCCCCCGCACACTCACATGATGCCCCTGCGGAAGTAGCTGCGGAAGCAGTCGGACTCGTGGCCCTGCGCCTCCCGGTGCTGCACGGTGGTGGCGCCCAGTGCCTCCTGCATGTGCTGCACGAAGGCGCCTGCCGCGCCCTGAGCCTCCACGCCCGCCTCCTTCCCGACCCAGTAGTGCAGGTCGCTGGGCGCCCCCTTCACGGCCTTCAGGCTCTGGGGAACCTAGGGCCCAGGTGTTTGTGTGTGGAGGAGGGTGGGGTCTTGCAGAGGACCCAGGGGTGGGGTGGACACAGATCCAGGATGCGCCGAGGGCCTTGGGGGGACTTGGCAGGTGCCTCCCCGGACAGGAGGTCCAGAATGGGGAGGGAAGGGCGAAGAGGCCTTAAAGGCGGCAGCCCCTTGGTCGGGTGGACTCCAGGGCTGCCAGCCTGCCTCTGCCCAGGACAGGGCCTAGTCTGCATCATCAGACTCCCCAGCTGGGCCAAGCCACCCCTGGGGCAGAGTCCCACATGCTCACGTGGAGGACAATGTAGCAGTGATCCTCGAAGAAGTTCCCATAAGCCCTCTCGGGGACTGGCACCATCCTCAGGTTCTGGGAGAGGAGGGTGCCTATGGCAACACAGCAGGACCACCTGCCTACCCATGACCTTCTGGGATGGGGAGGAGGGAGGGAGGGAGCTCTGAGTTGGTGGGGGGAGGGAGAAGCCCAGTCTCAGAGATTGATACTCTTTGTCACCAACCCTGCTCTCTGGTTGTGCCCCTCACCTCAATGTAGGAGAGGACCGGGCATGATCATTGAGGACCTACCTCAATGATCCATATGTGGAGGTCCCTGTGGCTCTCAGTGGCTGGGAGGCCCTTGCCGATGTCCATCCTAGGCCAGGTGGGAATGAGGGAGGAAACAACAAACAAGAGCCAGAGTTCTCAGGCCCCGGCCACCTGTGCTCTGGGCTCCAAGCAAGAACTCTCCCCAGCTGCAGCTCTCCAAAGCACTGTCATCATAGAATATGCCTTTCACTAGGAGGGCTCCATACATACCCAGATGCTAGCAAACCAGGCCAGGTACTGCAGACGTCGGCACAGAGGCTTTGCAAACAGGGACCTGGTTTGTTGTCTGTGGTTGTGCTCTTGAAACAGGGCCCAGCTCTGTGGGCAGGGATGGTTTTTGAACATAGGGACCTCTGCAAAGAGGGAGTTAGAAACAGGCTATGCAGACAAAGATCTGCAGCCCGGGATGGCCACTGGAGAGTGACAGGTTCTGCAGACAGGCAAAGGTTCTGCTAGTAAAAGAACAGATTTGGCAGCCAGGGAAAGGCTCTGCAAGCAGGCTCTCGAAATGAGACAGACACTTACTGCAGAGGAAACAGGGTCTGCTGATAGGGATAGGGACAGGTACTATAAACAAAGCTTTGCAAACAGGAACAGTGTCTTTAGGCAGAAAGAGGTATCCCAGACAAGGACACAGACAAACTCTGGAGACAGGGATAGGTTCTACACGCAGGGCAGCTTCTGCCATAAAAGCAAATCTAATACACAGGGAAATAGGGACAGACCATTTAAAAAGACGGTTCTGAGGGCGCCTGGGTGGCTCAGTTGGTTAAGCGTCTGCCTTCGGCTCAGGTCACGATCTCAGGGTCCTGGGATCGAGCCCCACGTCCAGCTCCCCCGCTAAGCAGGGAGTCTGCTTGTCCCTCTTCTCCCTGCTCCCCCTCTTTCTTTCTATCAAATAAATAACATCGTAAAAAAAAAAAGACAAGTTCTGAAAAAAAGACTCTGAAAAGAGCCTCTAGACACAGGCTCAGAGAGAAACAGACAAGAGGAAGTTTCTGCGAACTCAGAACAGACTGCACACAAGCATGGTCTCTGAAGACTGTGATGGAGTCTGGAGCAAGCAACAGGCTTAGCTAACCTGAGAGGGCTGGGTGAATCAAGCATAGGCACTCTTAAATTCTTGAAACAGAGCTGAACTCTCAATACAAACAGGCCCTATGAACAGCCACAGGCTCTGCAAACAGTGACTTCGCTCCCTTAGCTCCTGCAGTGCCCTGTGGTTCTGAGTGTGCGTAGGAGAGCAGCATGGAATGAGAGGTATCTGGGGAAGGAAGGGGCTCTCGATCTTGTTACATCGCAGATGACTCTCAGCTCCCCTAGGCTTCCCTGTAACACGCCTTCAGAAACCTCTGTGGGAGTTTTGCTCCTTCCTTCGTCCATGGAAGTTCTTTCTCCATCTAACCTAAGTCCCACCTGCTGCAACTTTTGCTTCTTGCTGCTGCTTTGCCCAATAGACCCAGAAGTCACTTCTCTCTGAACTTCTCTTTCCTAGTGACCTGAGCATGGTGTGAGCTCCTCTCCCCTCCCCACTCCTCTCCAGCAGTAGGAACCCCCGTGGCTCGCAGACCCTGCCTGAGGAGGGCAGACTAGGGAGGAGGAGACTTAGAGAGTTAGAGAATCAGAGGCATACTGTGACTCATGCACCTTTGTCTAGGGGCCCTTGAGGGCCAGGCTCAGGCCCTGGTGAGCTCATAGGTCACCGTGGGAAATTCGCCACCCTCTCAAAGAGGGCCCAGGTGGCTTCTGGAAGCAGGGAGGAGGGAGCTGCCCAGAGCAGGGCGGGCAGAGGGGCGGTCCTGCCCGGGTTAGAGCCACCAGCTAAGGCTGTGGAGAGAACGGGTGCTGGAGGTCCAGTCTCCGGCCCTAGAGCAGAGGGCTCCCAAGGCCAGGGGCTTGTCCTCGTGTTTGCCACCAGCTCCCAGTCGCGCCACTGCCAGCAGGGACTTAGTGACAGCCGCTGAATGAATGAAACCCTTTGCCTGCTGAGTGAGGGTGGATGGGCAGCGGGGCCACCGTGCGCTCTCACTGCGCCCAGAACTGCGGTTACAGGATCTGCCTGTCGCTGTGACGGTGACGTGGGTGACAGGCAGACATGGGATTGTGTAAAGCTGGTCCCAAGCAACAGAAAACATGCAATGGCACCGAGTGACAGGCATAGTGACATTCAGAGGGGATGGACAGAAGCAGTGTCCAGGGACAGCAACCAGGACACAGGTGGGCAGTGGCCAGAGGTATAAACTAGGGGCTGTAGATCAGATAACAGTGGGAGTCAGGGACAGAGTGACAGGAAGCCTGGCTGGCCACCACATTGTGGTCACCAGGGACCCATGGGGGAATGGACAGTCAAACTGGAGACCAGAAGTTTGCGATGGGGCAAGATTCACTGGGCGGGGTCAGCATCACCTGCGGGGGGTGGGAAGGGTACCCCAGATCCAGTTCCAGCCCGGGGAGCCAAACTCTTAGGCTTCCAGGGCCTGAGGCCCTCATCCCTGCGTAACCTGGGTTCTAGGGGATGGGCCAAGGGATTCTCACAGGGATCCTCTCTCCCCTAACACCCCTGTCTCCTCAGGCAGTCTCCTTCTCCCTCAGGGGGGTCCTTCCCTTCCCGGAGTGCTGCCTCTAAACTGCCAAGCCCTCCCACCCTAGACGCCCTCCTTCCCCTGGGGAACTCCCTTCTATCCTACTCTGCATGGCCCACCCCCACCCTGTGTCCTCTCCCTCCTGAAAGCCCCCTGCAGCCCAGGGCCCCCTTCTCTCCTAGATGCCCAGTTCCTTCTCTGACAAACCCATCTCCCCCCTTCCCTGTACCCCCTCCTTTCCTGGGGCCCCCTCTGTCTGCACTGGGCATCCCCTGCCCCCATGCCTCTTCCCCCCCAGCCCCCTTCTCTCTGCCTTCCCTGACCCCTTCTCTCCCCCAGAGGTTACTGCTCCCCCCGTCCCCCTGCTGCACCCCTTTCCTCCCCCAATGCCCCCTTGCTCCCCTGGCCTCCCCTTCTCTCTCCTGAGTTCTCCTCACTGCTGGGTGCTCCCTTCCTTCTCCAGATGCCCCCTCCTTTCCTGGGTTCCTCCTCCCCCTGAGGGCACCCCCCCTCCTCTGGGGTCCCAGTGGCCACTTCCTCCTTCTGAGGTACCTGTGAAAGGGAGGACCCCGAGGTCACTTTGCCAGAATTGCAGGAAGAGGGGAGGGGCGCTTCCCCCCCCCCGCCCCCCCGTGCTGGGCACCCCTGACTCGGAGCAGCCCCTCCCAGCTGATTCCAGAGCCCCCTCCCTGCCAGGCCTACCTGCTGGAAGGTGCTCTCTTTCCCGGCCAGTGGGCAGTGCTGGGCCTGTCCCCCAACCTGCCCCTGCACTGGAACTCAATCCCTGTTCCCGCCCAGCACGACACACCCCACCACCTGTGGGCTGGGCTTCAAACATAGTCAGTCAGTCAGTCAACAAATATTGACCCAGCTCTCTGAGAGCGACCCCTCCCCAGGGCCATGGCTGGTCTGCCAGGCCTCCCCACTTGGGTCCTGGTGGCCAGAGACAGCGGGGCTTGGAGGTCTGGGCTGGTCTAAGATGTGGGGTGTGGAATATACTGTGACTTTCCTTCTCTGACCCCTGACCCCCAGAAGGCCAGGCCACTCCAACAAGCTTTAGGAGGAAGGAGGACCAAAGCTGTTGGGGGTGGGGGCGGCAGTCTGTTTCTGTGAGACCCAGGTCACTTCAGGAGGTGGGGGAGGTGGCCAGGGCTCCCTCTAGCATCTCTGCTGTCCTTGCTGCTCCCCATTTGGGCTTGCTGCCCAGCACAGCCCTCCCCAGGGAGCCCCGATACCCATTGTGGGAGAGGTCAGTCCAGCCCTTGCAGGGAAGACACCTTTCCCACACCTTGGGCTGCTCCCTCCTTTCCTCCCTGATTGTAGGGTGGGGGAGGTGCTGAAAATAGAGCATTCCAGAAACTCCAGGAACAGGGCCACCCCTTACTTTAGGCCATTGGCCTGAGTTCTAGCCACAGAGCGTCCAGTGGGACTCCTCTGCCAGGACATACTGGCCCCAACACCCTTTCCCCATGTCCAGGCCTCAGCCCCACTGCTCCCTGTCACAGAGAGGGGGTGACTCCAGGAAATCTGGGTCCACCTGTGCCCTGTCGGACCTACCGCCAGTATGTGACTGTGGTTAACAGAGTTAATAGGTCCCCATGTGTGAAGGGACGCCTGCGTCCCAGGACGGGTGGTTAGTCCCTGTGTGTGTCTGCCCCTGTGTGTGAGAGAACACTCTGTTCCTTCATATGGTGGTGTGGGTGTTTGCCTCCGCCTGCGCATGCCTGTTTCCCTGACTCCTTTTGTCCCCATGCGCAGCAAAATCCCATGTCCTCACTTCTTACTTCCTCCCTGCAGATTCTACCCGGCCCACTCCTGTGCACTCTGCTTGGCCTTTGTTCCGGAACTCCCTGGAAATGGCCCTTTCCTAGTCCTCAATGCCCACTCTTGCCACAGCGGATGGATGGTTGTGTGTCTTCACCTCACCTTCCTTCTTACCACCCAGGGACCCCACTGGCCACCCCTTCCTTCGGAAACAGCTCACAGACCGAGTGTTTTCCCCACCTCACTGGCCACTCTGCCCTCTCCGTTGGGGCCTTCAAATGTCAGTGGGCACACAACTCAGGCCTTAGCCCCTGTCTCTTGTCTGTTTTCTTCCAAGTTCTAGTCCCCAGGCTGTAAATGCCAGGGGAACACTAGTGTCTCCTCTACCATGGACTCCCACTCCTTCCGAACCCCCACCCCCCACCCACCCTTCATCCTTCATCTGTCTGGTCACATCTCCCCTGGTGCATCTGACCTCATGCTTGACATCCGGGTCAGGCCCCTCAGAGACCTCCTCCGAGGCCAAGAAATGGCATGAACATCCAGCTGGTAGCTCAGGCCCCACACCTGAGGGCCAACCCGGGTTCCTCTCCTTCCCTCTCATGCAGAGGGTGGCCACTAGCCAGTCTGGTTCATCCAGGATCCTGAACTTGGCTGGGCCTCCCTGCCCTGCCCCAGCAGCCAGCCTCTCACCAGTTCAGCCTGAACCTCCCTCTGTGTCTCCTGGTCTCTTCGATCCCTATGTCCATCCTCCAACAGTAGCCAAAGGGATCTCTTAACCACAAAGAGATCACACTATTCCCCTGCTTTAAACCTTCCAGTGGCTTCCCTAAAATAAAGCCCCAAATTGCCTGTCCCTCTGCCGCACCTCCATTCACTCTCCCCATTCCTCATTGTGTTCTAGCTACAAATTTCTCATTGTCCCTTAAGACACCAACCTCATTCTAGTCTCTGGACCTTTGTACTTGCTGTTACCTCTGCCAGAAGCCTCTCCCTTAAATTTTCCCATGGTTCCTTTTCTGCATTCTGGCCTCAGCCCAGATGACACCTCCCCAGAGGGGCCTTCCCTGACCATGGTAGCTAAAGCAGTGCTCATCCCAGCCACCCACCATTTTCTCATCCTCCTCGTGCTTCCAGAAGCAGATAACCTTACTCATTTGGGTCCTGGCTCAGTGTCTGTGTCCCTAGCGGTGATGTGAGGGCCTGGTGGGCAGAGCCTCGCTCACTGCTGGACCTTGCGTCTAGAATGGTGCCTGGCATCTGACGGCTGCTTAAGAAATATCTGTTAATGTGCTCCTGTGGTCGGTGCCCTGATCACCTGGACCCTCTCTGGGACCCTTCCTGACACGGAGGCCGGGAGTTGAGCTTTCCTCAGAGTCAGGCTCCAGCCCCAGCTGAAGTGCCGCCTGGCTGCATGACTCAGGACACATTTCTCAGGCTTCTTCTGAGCTGACATGTCCTCCTGTGAGAAGGCAGGGGAGGTCGCATCTTGTGAGCGGGACACCCCACCTGGTGCAACCCAGCCTCCGCAGCGTAGTGTGGGGCACAAGGACCTCTCCAACGTCCCTCCCCAGAAATCTCTGGGTCTCTGGAATCCAGAAGATTCTGGATGGGCTCAACTGCCCCCCCTCCAGAATGGCGGGCACCTCCTTGTACCTGTGATCCCAGGCCCAAGAGAGACGGCAGTGGGCCCCAGGTCGGGGGGTGGGGGCGCGGGGCGGGGCAGATAAGCAGCACGGCTTTGTGTCTGGTGTGGACAATCTCCAGCTCATGGGATCACATCTATGACACAGAGAGAGGAAACTGAGACCCAGGGTAGTGCTCACAGGCAACTAGGGTCTTACAAGGACCAGGGGATGCCCAGCCTCTCCCTCCCTCCTCCCCCAGAGCAAAAAGGGAGCCCCGCCACCCCCTCCTCCTGCTCAGCCAGCGCCGCCCTGGCTGTGGGACCCACTCGTCCCACTGACCCTTCCCGCCCTGGGGGACCCTGCGGCCCACCCCACCCGCCCCTGGCAGGTTCGCAGGCTCTCTGTCGCTACTTTGTTCCTTCCGGGCTTATCTCGGAAGGCCCAGCCCGCTCCGCGTCAATATTGACAAAGGCGTGGGTGTGGCCCGGAGTGGGCGGGGCAGACGCTGGGACCAGCCCCGCCCCCTCGGGCCCCGCCCCCAAGGGGCCTAAGCCCGGGTTCTCACGTGGCTGTCCCAGCTCTCCTCAGAGTCCCTCCCAGACAGGTGCGGCACGCCGCCCCTCGCGGGGACCAGGCCCTGCAGGGGGGTGCGACCCTCCGGAGAGCGGACAGGGCGGGGGTGGGGGGGCGCGAGGCGGGTAAGACCTGACTGGGGTCTTGGATCGCACTGCCTGGAAACATCCTGGCCCCACGCCTTTCAGGAGAGCAGCCTTAGGACCATGTGCCCCCCCCATGTGGCTGCAGGCCGCGGAGGAGCAGTGACACGGTCACCGGGGCCCAAGAGCGGCTCCTCGGAAGTCGCCGTGGTGGGAACCGCTAGGGCCCGAGGAAGTGGAGTCTGTTGCTGTACCCTCCGGGCCACCACTGATGGGCCGAATGGAGTCAGAGGACAGCCCAGAAAAGAGCCCTAGGTCCCCGCAAACAAGGAGGTGTCCCTGCTTCGCTTTCCCGCGGCTGGAGATGTGTCGCCCTGCCCCGTTGTGCACCCACCCCATGGAGACACCGCTTGGGCCAGGATAGAGGGGTGGGGGTGGCAAGGCTCGGTTAGGTTGGTGGGCAGTGCTCCCATGTGAAGTGGGGGTATCCACTCTGCTCCCCACCTCAGTGTAAAAGCAGGGAACTGTCAGCTGCGTGTGGCTCCTATTTGGCCCCCCTCCTCGCTCCTGCCTTGGGAAAGGCTCCCAGTGACCGTGTGGGGTTTTCTTTGTAATTTTCTGGGTTTCCTGACCTTTTAGCGATGAACACGTATGGCTAGTCTTTCAGGTAAAGCAACACACGCCGTTTCCCCTAAGCCCTGCCTGTAGCCCCTTTGCCATACCTGGGTATCAGGCCTGAAACAGTTTGGGGACTTCCTTTTCCTCCATTGCCAGTCAGAACAGGGGTTCTCAGCCCTTGCTGAAACTGAGTAAAAATGTGATGCCCACTCTCAGGGTTTGGGGTTTAAATGGTCTGGAGTGGACTTAAAGGATCTATGTTTTTAAGAGCCGTCAGGTGAT